CCGCCGCCGCCGCTGCCGCTGCTCACGCACTCCGAGTCCCTGGCCTCGCTCCCCGAGGCCGGGGCGCTGCGGGCGCGCGCCCGCCGGCCGCCGGCGCGCTCCAACCCGCGCGCCTGCCGTCCCGGGCCTCGTCGGCGGGCGCCAGTTTCCGTCTCCGGCTCCGGGCGCTTCCGGTCCTAGACCTGCAGGTCTATGCGGTAAGTGTGTGGGGATCGGTTTCCCTGGTGGGGACAGCCAAAGTGTGCTCGCCGAGGTAGGTTGGCCCCAGCCTCGGTTTCCCCTCTGCTGATATGTGCCGTCAAAGGTTCTTTCTTGGGAGAAGGGCTTGGATGAGATGCATGTGGTCATTCCCTCCACCTGGAGGCGAGGGAAAGGGGTGCCTGGAGTTAGTGACTCTGTTCGTGGGACCCGCGTGGGGGATGCTTGGGTAATCTAGAGCTCATCTATCCCATACCCGTCACACCCTTGAGCATGCTTAGACGTTCCCTCCCTGGGCAGATGGTAGAGCTCACTTCTTCTGGCTTTCCAGACTCACAGAGTTCGAGCTGGTTGGCCCTCCAGTCCCCTCAGTTTACAAATGAGACTGAGATCTAGAGAGGGGAAATGACCTTCGTAAGACCATACAGCTGGTGAATTGTGGGACTTCGGTAGAATCCAGGCGTCCTGGCACAGACAGTGTTCCTTCCATCATGGCGCATTACAGATTTCATTCTCCCTCTGTCTGGGAGGGGGCTCTGATGTATTTCCTCCCTTAAGTCCTACGGTGATGGACCTGATCTTAGTGTTCTCCCAGGCCTATGGGCTCCGTTATCAGGATCACTTTCTTCCCCAGGGTATACTACAAACCTCCAGATGTTTATCTGTGGGATTCCGCAGAGAATGAGTCTTCCATCCTCTTTTCATTGGTAAGCCACTCTTCCCAACTGCTCTCCCACCATCTACTGTCGTCATGTCTACCTTACTCCTCAATCTGGATTTTGGCGAACCTCCCCCAAAAAAGGCATTAGAGGGGAATGCCAAGCACCGACAATTTGTTAAGAAGCGGCGGCTCTTGGAACGGAAAGGTTTTCTGAATAAGAAGAAGCAGCCCCCTAGCAAGGTGCCTAAGTTGCACTCAGAACCTCCAAAGAAAGGGGAAACTCCTAGGGTGGAGGACGCTTGGAAGGCCCCTCCCCTTCCAAAAAAGAAGAGGACAGTGGCCTCCAGCAGTGGGTCAGAGCAGTCCCTGGACAAGAAGGCTGCAGTGCCTTGGCTGACCCCTGCTCCTTCACAGAAGGCTGGTTCTGTTGTAGCTAAAGTAGATTTGCTGGGGGAGTTCCAGAGTGCCCTTCCAAAGATTAAGAGCCACCCACCTCGCCCCCAGAAGAAGGGCCCCCAGAAGAATCCTCCCCAGAAGAAGGCCCCCCAGAACTCCACCCAAGCTCATTTAGAGAATAAATGCTCTAGAGCATCCCAGAAGATGCCAAAAAAGATGGTGGCAATTGACTGTGAGATGGTGGGCACAGGACCCAAGGGGCATGTCAGTTCCTTGGCTCGATGTAGCATTGTCAACTACAACGGAGATGTGCTTTATGATGAGTACATCCTTCCTCCCTGCCACATTGTGGACTACCGGACTAGATGGAGTGGTATCCGGAAGCAGCATATGGTGAATGCTACACCCTTCAAGATTGCTCGGAGCCAGGTGAGAGGCATGGGGCGTGATGGTAGCAAAGAAATGGGTGAGGAGAGGTCTCAGTCGTTTTTCAGCAAAGGATATCATCCAGAGAAGGCGCCCAAGAATTGTGGAGGGAGAGTGGGAGGGAGTGGAATATCAGATGAAGAAGGCTTCCTCTGGGGGTAAGAAGTGGTGAAATGAAAGTCCAGAAAGTTACAATTAGCTGGTGTAACAAACTTCATTGGCAAAGACCTATTTTAGATTTCAAGTGGAATCCTGATCTGGTGAACTGGGAACCTCCATAGAGAAATAACAGCCAGTGATAGAGCAGCAGGCATGAGTGCCAGGGGAAAAGGGCTCAACTGGGGGATGCCGCGTAGTGTTGGAGCCTAGGGTTGAGAACAGAGAGGTGGAAAGCGCTTCCCAAGCGAGAAGTAGCCTGTGGAAAGTGTTAGTGGGAGGAGAGGGCAGGATGTTGACAGAAGGAACTGGGGCATGTTTGTGTAACTAGGATAGGTAGCCTGCAGTGAAGGGGCTAGAAGACACAGGCCTGGGATGTTGGGGTTCTCATCTCAGGGAACAAACCTATTCATTGTAGCCCTATGCTGAATACTGGGAGCACAAGTGAACCGGAAGGAGAGTGAGCAGTAGAGGGGAGGGGAGGAAGTGAAGGAGAGGGAGAGGGACCTGCTTGTCTTGAGAGGCCTCCAGAGGGCGCCCTTGGTTTACATCTTTGTAATTTTAGCTCCACATTCTTTGCCTTCTCCCAATACACTCTATTCCAGTAATTCCTTATATTCCAGAACAGTCAGCTGGAAGAGATGAAGTGGCTGGTTTTTAGAAAGAACTTGAAGAGTTGAAGAACATCCTGTGCACCATGGGCACAGTGAGCAAAGGCTTGGGAGAGGCAGAAGATGGAGTGGGTCTTAGACGGCTATGTATTGAGGTTAATGCAGAGTAAAGGGGTGATTGGCCAGTAAACCACAGGTGAAGTCAGGAGCAGCTAAATACCCAGTTGATTGGCCTTCGTCTGGTTTTCATCTTGAATCACTTCCCCAGCACCCGAGCTGGGGTATGAGACTAAGGTACATCCAGAAGAGCCTGCCCCTTCTGAGGGGTCCTGTTGAGAGGCCATGCACTCATTCCAGGACTATTGCTCTTGTTCCCAACCTTTTTGGAACCTGATTTTAGGAATGGCCTTCAGAGCCCCTGGCAGATTCTTTGGTTGTCTTCAGTGGTAGTATGTCCTCATGCTTTAAGATCCTGAAATGGTGAGAGGTTATTTGGTGCTAAGCCTAGTGTGAATAAGGTTGCTGCTTAGTTGGTAAATACCCTCTGGTTATGAGCAGGAGGAGCTATAAAGCAGCAGGACTGACTTTGTATTAAGGCAGCACAAGCGTGGCTCACCTGATCACTTCCCTCTGCAGCCTTAGTCTGTAAGCGATTCTTACCTTTTATGGCTTGTAGGCCTTTTGAGAATCTGATGAAAGCTATAGACTCCCCCCCCCCCCCAAAAAAGCTCATATACATATCTACTTGCATATAATTTTGGGCAGCTTACATTACCTCCCTGGAGCCCATCTTTGACTCGGGTGTCCTAGCCTTGTGTCTAAGTCCAGCAAAATGATAATGGTTAAAGGACTTCAAGTAGCAAGCTAGAACTGAACTAGATAGTTACATGAACATCTCAAATGCCGTGTGATTTGGGACTGAAGGCAAATTAATGTGTCTTTGGGGTGGAACTTAATGAGAAGGTAAAGAACCCCTGGTGTGTAAGTCTGAACAGGGTTATACCATGGGAAATACCTACTTTGAGCTCAGGGAGAGGAGTTGGATTTCAAATCAAAGAAAACTTGTGGGAAAAGGCGTTTCAAGGATGAGGCGGGTGGGCAGTTAGTGAGAAGAACCTAGAAGGATGTGTGGCCATGTCAGGCTTTTAGGATGCAGGGCGCCACCTGTGAGTCCTCCTCACCACCTCCTCTCCCACGCCTATTTCAGATCCTGAAGATACTCACAGGGAAGATAGTGGTGGGGCATGCCATCCACAATGACTTCAAAGCCCTTCAGTACTTTCATCCCAAGTCCCTCACCCGTGACACCTCCCATATCCCTCCCCTCAACCGGAAGGCTGACTGCCCGGAGAATGCCACCATGTCTCTGAAGCGTCTCACCAAGAAGTTGCTGAACCGGGACATCCAGGTAGCGTCTCCCCAAATGCTGCCGGGCTCTGGCATGTCCACTGTGGAGGCTCTCCTTGCTGCCTCTCTTCAGGCTCTGCCCCCAGAATGCCTCTGGTTGTGGAGAGATCCACGTGGGCTTCTCTGAGGGGAAGAGCTTTAGGCTAAAGGGCACAACAGTCTCTGTATGTAGGGATAACAATTCCTTTTCTCTACTGCACGGTGTTCCAGAAAAAAGCCTTGAAGTGCCTGTAAACCCTAAGAATAGAAGAAAGCAGGTAGTGATGGTAGTGTAAAAGACCACATAGTGGATGCCAGGACCTCTGATGTATTTCGCATGTTTGGCACTCAAAGAAGGGATGGCCTGCCTGGCAGGAGGCTGTGGACACATGTCATATGGAGAGCAGTTAAGGAACTGGGCAAGATGAAGCACTCAGAAGGCCTGTCTATGATCTGGTATGTCCTGTCTCTACAGAATATAGAGCAATATGACGTACGTATGTTGCCACAGAAAGGATTGAGGCAGACAGTAGCATAGGAGTTGAACCCCTGAAATTAGTTAAGGAGTAGGGCCCCACCAGAGTTCCACCTTTGCAGCCCACTAACTACAGAAGCAACAGCGTGTATGGGGTTTGGGGGCAGCCAGTTGGGAAGGGAAGAAACAGTCTCTTGTATCTTCATGTTCCTCTCTTCCTCCCTCATTCAGGTTGGGAAAAGCGGACATTCCTCTGTGGAAGATGCTCAGGCCACCATGGAGCTGTACAAGTTGGTTGAAGTTGAGTGGGAACAGCACCTGGCCCAGAATCCCCCAAACGACTAGCGGCAGTGGGGACACTGGTGATGTGGGGAGGCAGAGGCAGCATGGCACCTAGGAGAAACAGCAGTGGACCAATGGACAGCTCTAACAGTTCCACACCTTTGGAAGCTAGAGTTGTTGGGGAGAGGGAGGCCCCACCCCAGACATAATAGCCATTGAAATTTCACCTCAGCTGCTGTGTTCTGTGTCTGGTTAAGTGTCCCATGGAAGGAGGAAGCCTCCATGTCAGAACCCAGCCCTATACTGTTTACCTCTTAAATGGTGCTAACCGCTAGTCCCAGGGTGCTTTGACCCAGTTGAGCCTTTTGACTTTCGAGGGGCAGGGCATACTGGGAAATGTAGTTTCCCAAACTGCCTTATCACCAGGGTGGCCATGTGTCCCATTTTATGCCTTTTGTTCTCAAGAAATTAACAGCATCTTCTTTCACACTCACAAGTATTCTGGTTGGATGATAAACATGGTGATGTTATGTATCACACACTCTGCTGTTGGCTTAGTGTCTACATCTAGTTGTGTCAGGATGTCACCTGTTCTTCCCACCTTGACTTGCAGAGGAGCCATCCCTGGTGAGGTTTAGTTCTCCTTAGGGTTATAAGGTGGTAGAGGTGAGAGAGTGTGGCTTGGAAATCAACTTTTCTGATTAGGAAAGCAGTCTCTTTCCTAAAGTAATAGAAGATTTATTTAATTTAGAGCCCACTTGGTAGGATAAAAAAGGATTTAAAGTGTTTTAATGGTTTTTAATCTACTTTGCTAAACCAAGCCTCTGAAAACTCAAATTATTCCCTTGATAAATTTTTATAATGAAAGAACAATTGTGTGGTGTTTTCTTTTTAACTTCATGTTGAATAGCTTTGTCACAAGGTCTTGTAGGGCAGCGATTCTGTAAAGGGGGTCCCACGGTCCCTGTGGATGGCGCTAACTGGGCCCTTGTTTGCTGGAAGTCATCAAGAAGCGCTGACCAAGCCTTTGTGAGTAGCCTCTGTGCTCTGGTGCCCTGTCCTCGTCCCCACTACGAATCACCTAAAATGACACCCAAGACATGTGAATACCCTCACACAGAGGGTATGTGCCCAGGAGAGTGAGGCAGAGAGTGGGCATGCAGGAGAGACAGAGCTGGAGAGAAGGAGTGCTTGGTGATGCCAGCCTGGTCGCTCCTGCCAGCTCTTCCTTGGGAAGGTGAGTCACACAGGTCTGACCTTGTGCTGGGGTCACTGCAGTCTGTCTTGAGAGAATGCAGACTCTGTGTATATACCAGGACGTGTGCCCTCTTGAGTGGTTGGTTTGGGTCCAGGGGCCAGAGTCATAGTCATGAGTGCCTATAGAAGGGAATTTCCTGCAGCCAAACCAGACGTGGTCTTGCTATTGTGTCCTGCGCTGCAGGATCTGCTTGCACAGGCAGCTGTCGAGCTCTAAGCAAGTTGGGACCTGTTGAGCCCAGCATATGTAATGTCCGTGACACTTCACAAAGAGTTGCCAGACACCTTTTCACAACCCTAGGTGGGAATAATCTGGGAAGGCCACACCAAAAACTGGGAATACACATGAAAGCCAATCTTAATTACACTGTGATCAGTAATCTAGAAGATAACTGGAAAATTCTCATTTGAGTTCAGTTTTTAGGGTAGCTGTTGGCTGAAACAAACCTGGCTTTGTGTGTGTCTTGGTAAAGTAGCAGGTTGCTTTTATGTTCCCATACCCTCAACCCCCACTCCCCGTCCAAAAGCACCTAGTCTCAGTCCAGTGTTGGAAAGAGCTCAGTCTTACTTTCGCTCACCAGGAAGAACCTGGGGACCAGAGGACCTTGCAGCCATTTCCTTACTGTTTCCTCTCATCACACTTCTGGTCAGAGCCCAGCTTGCCCTGCAAGGGTGCCTGGGAATCCCCTGTACTTCAATCCCCTTCCTACTCTGCCCCTCTTCCCCTCTGTCCCCAGGGTCCTGGCTTCATCCAAATGATGGCTGACGAGTCCCATTGCAGATTGCTGCCCGAATCCCAATCAGCAAGTCCTGTTTTGCCTTAAATCTAAGGTCCTTCAGAGTGGAGCATATGCGTGACAAAACAAGCTCTTCTAATAATATTCATTCTTTTCATAGCATAATGCTGTTTTCTAATGCTAAGAGACCCCCTGCTGCAGGTGAGAATGGGAAAGGGCAAGGAGTGTGAGAACTGTATCCTGCCAAACAGACTCTTGATGGTCTAAAACTTCGTTTAACAAAGTGCTTCTTGAAAGGGGAAGAGGGAGTGTGTTTTGAGATTTCAGGTGATAACGCTGCTTCTCTCTCCACCCTTAAGAACCACATGTCTAGTGAAAGCTCCAAGGAGGAATCATTTGACTCCTAGTTTAACAGATAATTACAGCTGACAATAGGAAAGATCAACAGTACTGTAATTATGAACATGCCCCAAGGCACATTAGCCCAAGTCTAAGTTTAGAGAGACAAATGCCCATGTCTGCGATACGCCAGGTGCATCTATGAATATCCTACGTCTACAGTCTGTGTATTGTTCACAAAGCGCCTCCACTTAACCCTGTATAGAGCAAGTCCGCCAAACAGCTGACAGCATAACAGCAACTTACTGGGTTTCAAGTCTGATGTTTCCACTTAACTAAATTTGTGACAGTAAATTATTTTGCTGCTTGGAGCCTGGATGGTTCTAGTATCAAAATCCTGAAATTCATTTCTTTTTGGTGAGAAAGGCCCTAAGCTAACATCTGTTGCCAATCTTCCTCTTTTTACTTCAGGAAGATTGTTCCTGAGCTAACATCTGTGCCAATCTTTCTCTACTTTTTTGTATTTGGGATGCCACCACAGCTTGGCTTGATGAGCAGTGTGTAGGTCCGCCCCAGGATCCGAACCTGCGAACCCCTGGCTGCCAAAGCAGAGTGTGCGAACTTAACCACTACACCACCAGGCCTGCCCCCTGAGATTCTTTTCTAACCTTGATGTTTAATTGATGGTTGCTGTCATTAATAATAACAATGACGACCATTCATTGAGCACTTTTCTGTGCCAGGCATTGTGCTAAGCTCTTTCTGTTCATTGTCCCATTCTCTGTAAGGTAGGTAGTGGTATTCTAACTTAACAGTTGAGGAAACAGAGGCTCACCAAGGGTAAGAAATCTTCCCCAGGCCATGTAGCTGGAGGTTGGCAGTGCTGGCACTCAGACCTCCCAAGTCTGCCTGTCTGAAGCCTCTGCTCTTAACCGCTACCCTACTCTGCTGTTAATACAGCCAAGTGGCATCTGGTGAGACTTGGAATTCTTCCACTCAAATATGTATTAAGCACCTGTCATGTGCCAGGCATTGTGCTAGGCATTGGGGAAATGACACTGCCTCTGCTTCCCGCTTGCTTACAGTAACCTGAAGAAGAAAAACCAGTAAACTAATTTCACTGCGCTGTGGCAAGTGCTGTCCAGAGTCACTGAAGGATTTAAAGCACCGGAGTGATGTGATCAGATTGGTGTTTTAGGAAGACAGTGCTGGCAGCCAAATGGGAGCTGGATTGGAGAAGGGCCAGAAGATGAGTTCTTCTGTTTGAATAATTTGGATGAGCAACGATGGAGGCTGAATCAATGAAGTAGGAAGATGTGTATGAGCATCACTGAGGAGGTAGAATCAGTAAGACTCTGAGATGAGAGCAAGAGGATTAAAGCTCATCTTAACATTTCTGAATTACAGTGAATAGACAGCAGGGGCGCCATTTACCAAGATAGAGAATATGGTTGGCAGAAGAGCAGGTTTTTGAGGAAGATGACTTAGGTATTGATTGGGTGGACTTTGAGCTGCCTGAAGATACCCAAATGGAGATGTCCAGCTGGCGGCTAGATATAGGAGACTGGAACTTAGCAGAGTACAAGAAATCTGGGGCTGGGAGCTAAGGCTTAGAGACAACAGTGCAGCAGTGGGAATGGAAGCCTTGGTCTGGGATGAGGCCTTTATATAAAAGTATATAAAGAAGAGCGGAAGGTCAAGATCAGAGTCTCGGGAAATACCCATACTTACAAGCTGCTGGAGGAAGAGAGGCCTAAGAAAGGGCTATCAGACAGGTAAGAGGACAACCAAGGAGACTTCCCAGGAGGGAGGAGATAGTATCAAACACCAGGGAGATGGCCAGTAAGATGAGAGCAAAGAAAAGGATCTGTTTGTGGCAGCAATTTGGTGCCCTTCTTCCAAGCAATGCCTGTGGTGGGGGTGGGGAGGGTGGCAGAAGCTCCACTGAGATGGGTTGGAGAATAAATTGGAGGTGAGGAAGGAGAGAAGTGGTTGTGGATGGCTCTTCCTTGGCTCTGAAGAGAAGCAGATAAGGGTCAAGTGAGAGGTCTGAAGATGCTGATGGACAAAGCCGGTAGAGCATAAGGTGGCTGAGGAGCGGGCAGGTGAATGCTACAGTGGATCCTGAAAGAGAAGGGGATGGGAGCCTGAGCTTAGCTTAGCCAGCAATGGGGACACCTTGTCTTCTGGAAGAGAAAGAGGAAAGGGTAGGGCAGATGGATATGTTCCTGGCTGGCGGTGGAATAAAGTTAACATCTGGTGACCTTGATTGCTCATTAAATCGGAGGCAGAATGCTCTGCTGAGTATGAGGGGGAAGCCACGGAGACAGAAACTTGGAAAAAATAGGGACAGTTTGGAGCAGCCACTGTCTCTCACTGGAGAAAATGGGAGAGTGACCTGACTAAGAACACAAGGAAGGGCCTCTGAGGTCAGAACCTGAATTTGCAGGGGCACTGCAAGCTGGTTGTCATGTTTTTTTCTAGCATGATTGTCAGCCCAAATATAGAAGCAGAGAGTTTAATGGTTGGGATTGCATGGGCTGCAATGGGAGGACGGTGTGATCCTGGAGGCGAGGGTCTGAAATGAGATGAAGACGAAGTTGTTGGACCCCTTGGAGTCAAGGACCTGAGAGGCTAAGCTGTTGAGTAGGCGTTGGAGGCCTAGGGTGGCAGGCTGCAGGATTAGAAACAGGAAGATTGGGAGCCTGAGAGATAGATGCAGCAAATAAGAAGGAGAAGATGCAATAAGCACATGGCATGAGCAGTAAAGAGCTGAAGGCAGGGGATTTCTAAGAGCATGGCTGAGGCATCACTGAGGTACGTGAATAGCTCTGAGAAATCCTAACCAGCGGTCATGACCTCAGCCCCAGCTGTGTTAGTCTTTTTCAGACCTGATTTTTGTCAAAGTCCCTCTTTCATGCACTTATCAAGGACAGTTAAATAAATGATTAAATCAAGAACAAGAGCACTAATGAAAGACACAATCTAGTATTTCTTTCAGCCTTAGTAGGCATTGATTTTGGTTGAAGTCATTCACGCTTCATTCATTTGTTCGAGAAATATTTATTGAGCCCCAACCAAGTGCCTGACACTTGGGTGCCACCCAGCAAAGTCGACATGGACTTCCCTTACAGTGTGCGGGGGGTGATAGTGATATGAAGGAAAATGAGGGGATAAGGCAGGTGTACATGTACATGAGATTTTAGATGGGCTCTTCAGGGAAGATTTCTGAGGAGGTGACATGTGAGCAGAGACCTGAAAGAAAAGAGGAAGCAAGTCATGTAAATATCTAGGGGAAGAACATTCCAGAGAAAGTGATAGGTGCAAAGACCCTGAGGCAGAAGTTTGCTTGATGTATTCAAGGAGCAGCAAGGAGGCTGGCATGGCTAGAACAGAGTAAGCCAAGGGGAAAGTGGTAGGAGATAGGTCCAGTGAACAGGGGGAGATGTAGGCAGATACTATAGAGTCTTATGGGCCATTGTAAGGACTTGGCCTTATATCTGCACAAAACAGGGAGCCATTGCAGGGTTCTGAGCAGAGGAGTGGTGTGAACTGACTTATGTTTAAAGGACTCCCCCTGCTGCTGTGAGAGGGAGAGAATGGGCACACAGAGAACCAAAGTGGAGGCTTTGGCTGTAACCTAGGCAAGAGATGACAGGAGCTGAGGCAGTGGAGGTGGTAAGTGGCCTAATTTGGGACAGATTAACTTTACACACACGGATGATCTTTGATGTGGTTGATCCTGAATAAATGATTAAATCAAGGCCCACACCTTCGGTCTTTCAACTCTCCTCGGAGCTTCTGTACACAGCGGCCCACCAAAGAGTGCTCAGGGAGTGCATGTGCCCTCTGAAGTGGGGGGCCCACGTGTGGACAGCATGGAGGTTTCTGCAGACTCTGGGCAGACAGTCGGCATCGTGATCTCTTTCAGGCAGTGACTAAACGGGTGACATCTAGTGGCACTACTGAGGGGGGGTCACGGTGAGCTGGGCCTCTCCCCCCACCAGCCCCCACTGCCCCAGCCCCTGGCCTTTGTGCACTGCCGCACAGGTCTTTGTTCCACTCTCCTCTCTGCCCTCCCCTCGCTGAGCTGGGCTGACTTACTGGTTTTGTTTCCTTCTTTAGTAGGTATGCTTCTAACTTTATTTAGGGACACTATCAACCCTATGCTTTCTTTGAAAGGATGTATATAATGCATAGGATTTTGAGAGAGGCGGGGGTGGGGGGACAGGCAGAGAGAGAGTGTATTTTTAAAAATTTGGCATGGAAAGACAAGCACACCTTACTCCTCTTCCAGGCTCAACCAAATTCCATTCTGAAGAGTTTAAGAGCAAAGCTTTGGAATCAGACAGACCCAAGACAGCACATGGAAAGCTCTTGCACATGGCGGGTGCTGTCATGCCACTCCTCTCCCAGGCCTGGGCACTGAGGGCGGGGCCCTGTGTCTGTGACCCTGACCCCTGTGTCACAGTGCAGAGTGACACCAGGAACCTACGTTGTCTGGCATCCTAGGCCAGAGGCGGCTTCCGTAAGGCTGGGCCCTTTACTCCCTTCCACCCTGTGGAATCCTGCCCGGTCGCTTCTTTGGAAAGATTCCATGAGAGGAATCCAAACCATAAGCGAAGGAGGAAGGAGGCACACTGCCCCTGCCCTGAGAGCTGGGGAGGCAGAGGGAGCCCACGCCCAGGACTGACAAGGAGGCAGAGGCAGATAATCCAGCCTGGCAGCTCGAGACCTGAGGTTGGGGCTGGGTGTCCCGGCTGGGCTGGCGGAGTGGGTAGATCTGGGAAGCTTTCCCGAAGGGTGGGAGGCTGGAGCTGGGGTCTGAGCAAAAGGGCCCAGGCTGAGGAAAGGGCAGAGTGTTCTGGGGGCTTTCTTCTAGGCTATAAACCCCCTCACCCCCTCCATACACACTCTCCACTCCAAGGCAGGGACTACCTCCTCCCAGCTTTGGAATCATTTCTCTGGGGTTCCTGGGAGCAGAGCACCAGGGGGTCAGGGAGCTTATAAGAGGAGACTTGGCCTACAGAGACTGCAATGCCCACAAGCAGCGAGAAAGTTCCCATGAGTGTTCTGGACTTGGGATGGCTCCCACTCTAGGCCAGTTACTGTGAGCTCAATGGGAAGACTGACTAACCAGAAACCCAGATCATCGGGAAACCTGGAAACCCGCCACTAACAGTCACAGAGCTCTGGGATTTAGGAAGGCATGAGACTGTGGTGAGGAGGATGGCAGCTGCGAAATCCAGGAGCTACCGGCTTCTTTGATCCCCAGGGACAGGTCCCTGTGGACCCCCAAGTGCCAAAGCTCCTCTTGGATGTCTTTGCCAGGTTGGTGGAGGAGACACAGGCAGGGGAGGAGGGGGCTTTGTCAGGGCAGTGCGCCCTCAGCCTGGCCAACTGTCATTCACAGGCGCTAGCCCAGTGCCCTCTGGGAACCCGGGCAGGCTGGGGGGCCCTGGTGGGTGGAATGGGGTAGGGGTCCAGGGCAGGGGGAGGCGGGGAGACTGTTCTGTCTCTTTTTTTGACAGCTAACATTTTCCAGAGCTGGCGCCTGTGGGGGAAGGAAATCAGAGCTTCCCACCTCACACATCTTTTTCCCATTTTGTTTGCTCTGCCCAGGGAAAGCCATTAGGGCTAGGTCAGTCTGGGCCTCCCCCACCCGCCCATCTCTCCAGCCCTGCTATAAGGAGGGATGGGGGTGGGGGTGGGGGTCATTGGAAGGACAAGGCCCTAGCCTGGCTAAGGGGCCAGACTCTGAACTCTTGTACCCCTTCTTAATTCCCTGCCCGCTCTAGATGGGAGAGTGGGGGCAGGGACCAGGAATCTGGGCTCCCAGGGCCCTCCCTTACTCTGCTCAAATCCCCCTGCACCTCTGATTCTGTCTCCAGGAAGTCTGTTCCACTGGCCCCAAGGAAAGCTGAGCCTGGTCTGGTCTGCAGCCGGAAGGGCCCTGGGGTTGGGAAGCTGGTCCTTATTACCCAACTCCTAGGGCTCCAGCCTGCTCCCTGGAGTCACTAGCACAGCAGGTTTCCATAGGCCCCTAGGAGCCAGGCTGGGGCCAAACTACTGGGTCCCACTGTCTAGAGACAGTAGCTGCATTTGGGGGCTGGAGAGAGGAGGGAAATGAGAACACTAAGGAGCCTCGAGGAGGCACTGTCCCCAGGGTGGCTGACCTCCTTCCTGAGGTTGACCCATCAGTCCTTACCCTGCCCCCTCAGGGACAGCAAGTCCAATATACTCTTTCTGTCCCCATCCAGGACCTCAAAGCCCAGACCTGGGCCCCCTCAGTCTCTTCTCTGGGACCTCGCCTTCTCCCCTCCTTTCTGCCTCTTTCTTCTTCAATCCCAGAGTCTGGTTGTCTGGCCCAGTGCCCACCTTCTGCAGTTCAGGCCAGAGGAGGAACATAGCACCACCCAGTCTGCAGCCTTGCTGATTTCTTTCTTCTTCCAGAAACTCCAGATCATCTCAATGGGCAGAGGGATTCTCCAGGCCCCTAGCTCTGCTTCTATTTCCCATCCTCAATAGGTGGGAGAGGAGGCATCTGGGAGATGACTTGGGCTCCCCAGAACCTGTCTTGGGCTAGACTGCAGGCTGTTCATCTTTTCCAGGGCTAGCCACTGTCCCCAGGCACCATGCAAACCCAGCTATTCAGCCTGCCAAACTTGTCACAGCTACAGCCTTCCTTTCCTGCTGTGGGCTGCCAGGGGTTAAGGGGCCAGAGCAGGGCAGGGGTCAGGAATGGCAGAGGGGTCTGGCCCTAGTCACTGGATCATAAAAGCCAAGAGGAGTTTAACTGTGGGTCATGGTGCTGACTGACTTCTCCATCCATAATGCTGCCCTGGGGGCTTCCTTTGGGAGGGGGAAAAGGGGGCCACAGCAGGCCAGGGTCAGGCCCAGGCCCGTCCTGCTTCACATGTTGGCTGCTGCCCCCAACAGTCCTGGTCACACGGGATCCTCCCCTCAACCTGGAGGTTCTCCGAGAAGCAGGGCAGTTCCAGAGGAAGACGAGCTGAACTTTGGTGCCTTTCAAAGAGAGAAAACCGAGCAGCATCCTGAGTGGGGAAAGAGATGACCTGCCATGCCAAGAAGCACCAGTCTGGGAGGTGGAGCCAGAGCAGAGGGTCAGAGGAGCAAAGACCCAAGGCTCAGAGAACAAGATCAGTGTGCTGGCTGCCAGCCCCTGTGTGGGGTCTCCAGGCTCTTCGATGGCTGCCCACCCTCTGTGTGGCTCCCCTGAAGAGGCAAGCAGAACCAGGGGCCTCTCTCGGGTGACAGAGATTCAGTTCCGACACGTCCTCAGCCAGTGCATCCCCACCTCCTTCCTTTCCCCTCCCTTGGCTCAGCACAGCCGCCCGCCCGGCCCAGCCCCGAGGAGAGCGTCGGCAGTGGGAGCTGGGAACCAGGTAGCAGAGCCAAAAATAACACAGGAGCCGCCTGGCTGCCTGGGTGCTGCGCACATCCTCTCCCGGTCTAACTGTAATCCCTCCTTTACAGTCAGCCCCCTCCTCCCACCCTACGGTTCTGACCCTCCTGGGCCACACCTGCCTCCTTTTGCCAGGGCCGAGGTAGCCCTGGAGGTCACGGTCACCCCTCCCTTTGAGTCCAGCTGCCCTTTTCCCCAGGTCACTCAGGATTCTCTGCCCACACCTTCCCTAGTTCTCAGGGTCTCTCCCCTGCGCCTAACTATTCCTGGGAAGTGAGTCACCCCCTTTCTAGATCTCTAACCCTGTCTCCCAGCTTGCACTTCAACTTGCTGGAAGCTCTTTTTTTGGTCTAACTCCCATCCATCCTGCTGCAATGGCAATTTTAGTTGTGGAGAATCAGAGTGGGGCCTTAAGGGATTTGAAAAGGGCTGGGTCCCTGAACCCAGGGTGACAGACGACAATGGAACATTCTCCTCTGTACTGAGGATCAGGACAGACTAGGAGGCAGGATCCTTGAGTTTACACTCCGTGTTGAGTAGAATACTGAGGGCTCAGGGAGGCAGGGGACACAACTGTCTGGCCCCAGCCGCTCTCAACTCCTTTCTTCTACTCTCAGACCTCTTCACCCTCTGTAGAAGTCCTGCCTTCTTTGCTGCCCCTACACTGAGTGGCAGAGACCCAGGTGTCCAGCCCCACCTGGGTTTAATTTCTACATGACTCCCAGCCAACAAACTCTCTGACCCAGCAGATGCAATAACACTGCTCAGGGTGAGGCTCTCCTGCAAGTGCTGGATTTGGCCAGAGAATCTCCTTGGTCCCGGCTGGGGGTGAGGGCCGGGGGTTCACGATTCTCCCACTCTACCCATCCCCATTGGCTGGGGTGGGTGGTCCCTCCTCCCCCACTCAGCCTCGAGAGTGATGGAAAGGGAGTGATGGAGAGGGCTGAAGGCATCTTCTTTCCCAAGCCCCCAGACCCCTGAACCGTGCACACATCCACCCCACTTACACTCCTCCAACCGTCCAGAAGCCTACCCATCTCCATTCCTTCTGCTGCAAAACCAGCCACTTTCCTCTTAGCCACACTGCAATGGGAACAAAGCCCCAGAATGTTCTTTTCCTAACTCTCTCAAGCCTGTTTCCTCCCCACCCCACCCCACCCCCATCTTGCCACTGCTCCCCCAGCTTTTCTCACCAGCTTTGCACCCTCCCCCCACTAGAGTCTCCAAATTCCTGGGGGAGCCCCAGGAGGGGCGTGACCAAGGTTCTTAGAGAGAACAGTTGCCCCCGGCAGATCTGCAGCAGATTTGGTCATAATTAAAAGGCAAGGGACACTGGGAAATTCCTTCTTATTGATCCCGGCGGGAAATTAAAGCCAGTTGTTTGTGAGTGAGTGACTGATGCTGGCTAAGCTCCTCCCTGTTGGTTGCCTGGTTCCAGGACCCTAGCCCCTTGCCCCTAGACTCCCCCATCCTCCTCTGTTAGCCCCCATTCCCCATCCCCCCAGACCTCCATCCCATACTCCCCCCCATCCCCGCCGTGTCCCCCAATCCCCTTCCCCAGCATCTTCCCTAAGCACCTCCCACATGCCTGTATGCTCTAATGGGGTAACAGGGCTGCTGGAGGCTGAGACCTCCAGCCGAGCAGCTCAGCTGCCTGCTCCGGACCCTCTACCCACCTCCCTCAGCGAGGGTTGGGGTGCAGGGGCTGGAGCTCAGGCCCAGAGCTGCCAAACCACAAACACTCACATCTGGAAAAAATTCCCCTCCCAGCCCGACTTCCCTTTGTCTTACTTCTGTCTCTTTGGAAATTCTGGCCGCCAGGCCAACGGGGGGAGTGAGGAAGTGAAGGGAGGGGAGTGGGCCCAGGCCTCCCTACCCCCACCCCAGGGAGCCCCCCTCCAGCCTCCTCAGTATCCTCTGCCAGACCACATCCCTCCTCCATGCTCCTGTAGGTCTAGGCTCCTGGTGACCATCTTTTGGGGAGGTTTTAACATCCTCTGTCATCAGGCTTGTGGGGCAGAGGGCCTGCAGTGGCCCTTCTCTCCTGCCATGGGGGGGTGCCCATGGAGCAGGAGACTGGCCTCTTCTGGCTCGGGGTTCAAGAGGGCTGGAGTGGAGTGGGGTGGAGATGCACATGGCGACCTGAGAGGAAGAGGTAGGGGGCAGTGAGGGGGAAGGAGCAGCAGCAGGAGTCTGGTTTCCACCATGTTCCCCCCTCCAGCCTCTCCTCATCCCTTTGGCTGGGAGCCTGATTTCACTGTCAGAACCTAATCCCCCTCCCTTTACCTACAGCACTGCTGGAGCCGCCGGGTGGGGGAGGAGCACAGGCAGCGCCAGCAACCCTAGGTCTTAAGCACCCCCCAGGGACCAGCCCCTCCTCTCCACCACCTCTGCTTTTGTCTGTGCTTCCTCAGAGAGCTCCTCGACCTGCTGCCCTCTTACTTCCAGAAACCCAGGCCACCTCTACCACCAAATCAGCTCTCCCACACAAAGCCTGGACCCTTAAAACCGGGCTGAAGCATCTAGCTCCCTTCTTCAAATCTGACAGTTTACTGGTTACTGCTTGATGGGGCCCCATCAACAAGTCCTTTCTAGGGCTGGCCCTGAGGTCGAGCGGTTAAGTTGGCGCCTTCTGCTTTGCGGCCCAGGGTTTCACTGGTTGGGATCCTGGGCGCCATCTAGCACCGTTCATCAGGCCATGCTGAGGCGGCGTCCCACATAGAACTAAAAGGACCTACAACTATGTACTGGGGGGCTTTGGGGAGAAGAAGAAAAAAAAAAAAAGGATTGGCAACAGATGTTCGCTCAGGGCCAATCTCAAAAAGAAAAGCCCGTTTTACAGTCTAGTCTCCATGCCTCCTGCTCCAGAGTCATCCAAGCTGCTTCATTTTTTCTACACATCCATTATTCACAGATTTCCCTCTTTACAGCACAGAGGCTCGACCCCCAGTACAGTCTCCAGCCTTCTGTTCTCCACACGGCAGGAAATCCTCCAGCCCCTCTCTTTGGCTCTATTCCTGCGGACCACTCGCCAGCTAAGGCCCCCAACTCCCTAGACCGTTCGTGGGCCCTAAGGCAAAGGGCTCAGAATCTCAAAGAGTCTGTCCTCTGTTCCACCCACGGCCATGCTGGCAGGGAGGGGCCAGGGCAGGGACGCAGGGTTGGGACCAGATGTGGGGATTTTCCTCCCTGCCTAGGAAGGAGCTGGGAGGGGAGTCCTGAGAGGGTGGCGGGATGGGGGTGGGGTACAGGCAGCGGGGCCACGTGCGCCCATTAGCCGAGGGCAGCTGGGCCGCCGCGTCCCTCAGAGCTGGCCAGGCCCGGACGGTTCGGCCCGTGCAGGGCACCGCACCCCGCCGGGCTCTGCTCCTCTGCGGCTTGCGGCCTCGGGTCTCCCGGCCTGTCTCCGAGGCTCCCCGCCCGACGTCCATTTCTGTTTCTCTGTCTCCTGCCCTCTCCACTGGGGTCTCTGCGGGGAGCCGTTCCCTATTCCCGCCCCCCCCCCGCCCCCGCCACCCCCACGCCCCCGCCTTTGATCTACATCAAAGCCGCTCGCAGAGGGCTCGCCGCTCCTTCCGCCCGTTTTACTGCTCAGAATGGTGACACCTGAGACCCTGCTCCGCCCCTTCCCCGGGCACCTAGCCTCCCTCCAACCCAGGTGGCAGCGCGGCGCGCCGAGGCTCCGCGCCTCTGTCTCCCCCTCCCCTCCCTGCCGCCTACAGCGATCCCCTCGGGGGTCTGGGGAGCCAAGCGACAGAGAAAGCTCCTTAATAAAAAACTCGTGTCAAGTGATTGGCTATGACCTCTGCCCTCCTCAGCCTCGCGCCCGGGGCTCCTACTTAACCCTTAGATGCCCGCCCAACGCTTGTAAGAGAAATGAGTCTCCCTCGCCAACTTCCAGCGTCCCCAGGCACTACCGGAGCCCGAAACCCAGTGGGGAGTCGGGGGTGGGGGTGGGGTGAGGCCCCCTCCCAGCCTCTTCGAGTCGTTCCGGCAGGGGGCGCTATTGCTCCACTTAGGGGCCTGGCCCCAGGACCCCAGAGCTTCCCAGCCGGTCTCTGAGTTTGGAGCGGTCCCACCGGATCCAGTTCAGGCTTCAGTGGAGCCGGAGCTCGGCCGCCCATTCTCTTCCCCAAGCTCCGGCTCGCGAACACTGGTTCACCTGCAGGGGGTGTCCCAGGGTGTCCGGCGCCAAGGAGTCGAGTGCACCGAGTCAGGTTGGGAAGGGGTGGGGAACAGGCGAGACATGACCCTGTGCCTCGGACTGCAAGACGTGAGACCCGAGCATCTCCGCCCCCTCCTCTCGGCTGAGAGCCTAATTCAAGCGCTCTCCCTCGGTCTGCCTTCCCACTCACCCACTGGGCCCCTCAGTGAACCCTGGACCCGCCCAAGGGGCTAGATCCAGAAGCCCAGGGATGGGGGAGGGGGGTTGGTGATAATGCAGGGCAGGGGCTCAGGGCCCCCCAGGTGGGGTGGGGGGCGGAGCAGGAGGCGGGGCCACCTCATTCTTGGGCAGGGGCGGGTCCCGCGCAGGGTATAAAAGCTACCCGCGCGGGAGCCCAGGCCAGCTTTGGGGTTGTCCTGGGACGTGTCCTGGTTCCTGAGTCTCACGATCCAGCGAAGGCGGCGACGACATCTCTTTCGACTAAAAGACTCAGCGTCCAGTGCTCCAGTCGAAGGGTCTAAAGGGACCAACACCGGCACTGCCACCATGCCCAACTTCTCTGGCAACTGGAAGATCATCCGATCGGAAAACTTTGAGGATTTGCTCAAAGTGCTGGGTAAGGAGATTTTAGAGCGCCCGGGAGAGGAGAGGGGCGCAGGAGTTCTCCAAGGTGGATAAGAGAGAGGAAGCGGGGCTGGAATCAGGGCATGGGAGGCTGGGCTCCTGCATCCCTAAGAAAATGGGCCAGACGCCTGGGTCCCGGGGCATTGGGCCCGGACGCCTAAATCCTGCTTTCTCCGGCTGGGCGCCCACCGATGCCAGCTCCTGTGGTGACTCAGCCTGTGAATCAAGTAGAAACCAGAAGCACGAGGTCGGTATCCCTTGGGTGGGGTGGGTGGGCTCTCTGCAGTTCGGGAGCTGCAAACCCTGCATCCAGGCTTGGATCCCTACCCAACTGAGACCCTTGGAGACATTCCAATCTCCTTCCCCTTGCCCCCCGCCCCCACGTGCTGGTCTCCACCCACCAAGTGATCCACCACCCCAGGCCCCCTCATCCTCCTTCCTTTCTCCTTCAGTGCTTTCCACTCTGCTCCCCCCAGTCCCCATCTGTGAGACAGATATTTTCCTACAGCGAGCAGCTCCAGAGTCCTAAAATCGCTCTGGATAATTATCACTTTCTTAGATTTCAACAAATGGCTTCGCATGAAATCCCAACACTCCCCCTCCGTTTCCAAAAATCCGAGAGTTCTTTTCTCCCTCCTTCCCTGGAGACAGCTGCAGCCCAGCTGGGTGTGTTGGCTAAAGGTGGGGAAAGTTGAACCTACCCAGACTGCCCTTCTCAACTCCTGTGTGCCCTCCCCTGTCTGGGTCAGGGGAGGAAGCCAGTACTGGCTGGGGAGAGTGCTCTGGGAAGAGATGGAGCTTAGTTAAGGGCCCCAGCCACTGGGAAGCCACCTGGGAGCCCTGGAACCTAAGGGTAAGCATACCCTCAATTCTGGCCTGAACAGAGAGGCTCCAATTGCCCTGGGTTGGGGGGCGCCCTGTGTAGGGCGAGGAGCTGTAGGAGTGAGTCTGGACCTAGGAAGGGTCTGGAATGCTATGTGGAAAGCAGGGATTTCCATCATTCCTTGCTGTTAGTTCTTTTTGCAATCTAACCACAGTATTTCTTGTAGTCATGTCGGTCTTTCTTGCTCTGCCCTTGATGAAATTAGACACAAAGGATGGACGTTTTCCCTTCAGAAAGCCTAGTCGCCATTCCCTCCCCCATCTTCTCTGGATTCTGGCCCCTCTCCCCACTGGATGAGGCAGTGGCCTGGCACACCCCCAGGCCCCAGCTGGAGAATAAGATCCAAAGCCCAACCCTGTTTGTCTGTCTTCAGTCTGTCCTCCCTGCAGGGTCCCTCAGAGCCACGTGCCCTCCTTAGGCCCTGCTGGGGGGCAGATTGAAAACAGACCCGTTAGACAAACACAGTCCTGACTCAGCCAAGGTTGACGGAGCCCGGCCCCAGCTCCACAGGCATCAGGGCTGGCTGGAGGGGTGTCTCCTCTGAACCCAGCCTTGCCTCCACGGGAACCTCGGTCCCTTCTTAGCCGCCTTTGCCCTATTCAAGGGTCTCTCTCCTGGAGAGGGATGCTCAGGTATTTGGGGGACACCTGTCCCATCCAGTATGATGGTCATGGCACATGGTTAGCAGGTTCTGTCCCTATAACAGGAAAGATGGATGTTAGAGAGCAGGATGAACTTCCCAGGTAGCAGTAGAGAGTGAAGTAGACTTTTTGTCCAAGAAGATGGAGTGGGATGTGTCTCCTCCACCAAGTCACTCGGACCAGGGAACCTCTGGCATTTCTCCCTGGACCCAAGAGATCAGCAGGCAAGAAGCGGTTCCTGGGGCTCCTGAGGGACAGGGCTTCCTCCCTCCCTCTCCCTTCTGTCTGGAATAGAGTGGGTCTGTTCTGGTGCCACGGGGAAAGAGGATTTGTTTCTCTAAGAACCCAGGTCTGTAGGAGGACCAGGGAATCCGGGCTGCATCAGGGGTAGGGGAATCTCGCTGGCCTGGCCCACCCCAGCTTGGCTTCCTCATCCCCACCCATTGCTTCCCTGAAGGGCTCTGCTCCAGTTCAGAATGCAAAGCCAGGTGAATGGTGTGGAGTTTGGACCTGGGCCCTGCCAGAGGGCCTCCCTGCCTGCTCCTCTTCCTGTCAGAGGGGTGCTTTCTCCTGGCTCCCCCACCCGTCTTAATAACTGGGGAGCAGAGAAAAGGGATCCAGTCTGGGAAAAGATATGGGGGACAGGCACAGAGACTCTGAATCCACATGAGCTGAATGAAAAGACCTGACTAACTGAGGTGGGGTGGGTGATCCTGGCGTCACGGGCCCATCAAGGGCAGGGAGGAGTGTCCCTCTCTGTCCCTTGCAGGGAGAGGGACATGGGAGCCTTCTAGGAGGGCAGGTGAAGAGGAGTCTGATGCAGGGAACTTTGAGCACCAGCTCTGGCTTTTTCTTTGCCTTCCTTTTATCAGTAAAATAAAGCAACAATAAGAATAGTGACTGTTTCCTGAAAACTCAAAGGTGTGCCTGGCATAGTGTATGCTAGCTCCTAAATACGTATCATCCCATTTGCTAGGCTTTTGAAGAAGCCTAAGGAGGAAGTGAAGAATCTAAGGCTCAGAGAGGTTAAGCCATTTGCCCAGGGTCACCCAGTCTGCAAGGGAGGCTGAGCCAGGTGGAAATCAGGGCCTAATGGGTCTTATTCTAGAGCCTTTGGCTTCTCCAGGCTCCTGGCCATTCTGTAGAGGGAAGCAGCTGCCTCACTCCTTTCCCTGCTGAGAATACCACCTCTTTCTCATTCTGGGGAAGGACAGAGATTGAGCAAATAAAGGCCCACCAGATGGGGGAGGTGGGTAGGGCAGAGAGGGAAGTTGCCTCTACTTCCAGGACATGCGTAGTGAGGCCTGGCTGGGGAGAGTCTGCCCTGTGCATGGGCAGGGGGGAAGACACAGTGGCTCTCATGAGCCCACCCCACCAGATGGTCTTCAGCAGGGTGGATAAAGGGCCAAAAGGGAGGTGAAAAGAGCCAAGGTAAGCCTGCTGCAAGATGCATGCTGGGGAACGAGAATGAGGAGAAGCTGCCTCAGGAACTCGGAGAGTGAAGAGGTGAGACTCGGAGAGCCTGACCCAGGCCTGCTGACTCATCAAGGTGGAGCTGCAGCCAGAGCAGGACTCCCAGGGGCAGAGCACTGCCTCTCTGCCCCTCCTCCCTACACCCTGCCATCGCCATCGGGCAGGGCTGACCACCTGCCCTCCGCCAGCCACTCCGAGTTGAGCCTGCTCCAGCTGCCCCACTGGGAGGGTGCGAGACTGGTGCCTGGAGCGCCCCTAAAGGTGAACCTCTCCCCTCTCCCTGCAGGGGTGAATGTGATGCTGAGGAAGATTGCCGTGGCTGCAGCGTCCAAGCCAGCTGTGGAGATCAAACAAGAGGGAGACACTTTCTACATCAAAACCTCCACCACCGTGCGTACCACGGAGATTAACTTCAAGATCGGAGAAGAGTTCGAGGAGCAGACTGTGGACGGGAGACCCTGCAAGGTGAGTGACAAGAAGAATCCCTAAGGGTCCTCTGGTCTACTGCCCTGCCTCTCAACATGCCACTTTCCAGTCTTTTCCTAGATTCTTTTCTCCATTTCTAGTGGAGAAAGCCCTGAGGTAGTGGTGGTGGGTCAAAGGGGGCCCGTCCCCATCCCTCTCACTGCATCGTCCCTGCTGTGGGCTCAGCGCATTTGGTCACCTCTTTCTTGCAGAGCCTGGTGAAATGGGAAAGTGAGAACAAAATGGTCTGCGAGCAGAGGCTTTTGAAGGGAGAGGGTCCCAAAACCTCCTGGACCAGAGAGCTAACCAATGATGGGGAGCTGATCCTGGTAAGGCCTGCTTCCTCCCAGCCAAGAGCAAGCCTGTGCTACCTTTGGAGATTTTTCCGGGGCACTCCAGGGTGCAGGAGGCTCAAGGATAACCATGGCTGGTCTCTCACTTCCTTATGGGGCTGCTGGGGAAGGACCAAGCTGTCCCTTGTCCCATATGGTGCCCTTGTGTGAATGCAAAATGGTGTCCCTTCTGTGGGGAGCAAAGGACATGCACTGAGAGGCCCCAGCAGCTCTTCAGGGGAGATCTTCCTGGCTTGGAGAGGAGGATGTAGGACAGACCCCTGGGGCTCTATTGCCATCCTCCCTGCCATGATGCCTGGGCATTTGGGGACCTGCTGTTGCCTGATGGTTCTGAGCCAAGTAGCAGGTTTGAACCTGAAGGCCGAGCAGAGTACCTCCATTCAACCTTTCTCCCCTCAAGCCACAGGAACCAAGGCCTCCCAGGCTAACAACTTCTGTCATTCCAGACTATGACAGCGGACGACATTGTGTGCACCAGGGTCTACGTACGAGAGTGAGTGGCTGTGGGTCCGAGAGCTGCCGGCCCACCGCCAGTCCATGCTCCCTGCTTCGCCACCCTGTGGGCCGCCCCTGCTCCCCATCCCTTGCTTCTAGACTAGCTCTCCCCTTGCCCTGGTCACTTCTGGGGATCCTGGGATGCCTCCTGCAGGGCCTCTGCCTTTTCGGCCCCTCCTCCCCTTCTCTACACCAACAAAGAGGATTGCAGGAGCCCAGATCACCCATTCCTGAATCACTCCCCCCACCCAAATCAGCAGTCCCAGCCCCAAACCAGCCCAGAACACAGTCTATTTCTGTGCGGGCAGCTGAGGGCCCAAGTGGGAAAGACTGGCCCTCTGGCTTCCACTCTTTGTCCCTGTAGCCTATACCCTGTAGAATATTTATTGGTTAACTTTATTAAAATGTTTTTAAAAACAAAACCTGTCTCTGGCTCATTGGGAAGTGGGTAGGCAAGTCGCTTGAGTTCTGCCTTGCCTCTGAAATGCAGCGAGAGCGCTGAGGTTTCAGCACACGGATGTGAATTACACAGCACCCTTCTCACCACCACCCCTTCATTTGCTGCTGAATCCATGCGCATCACCTCCTCTTCCCCTCCTCCAGCCTCCTTGGTCCCCTGTTCTGACTTCCAAGGTCTCCAGGGCCTGTCCTCCTGACCTCTCAGTGAGGGTGCTGGGCACTGAGGAGCTGATTCCCACGTTCTCCTCCCACATTTCCCATGATGATGACACAGCTTCCTCCTCCTCCTGCAATTGTTCCTTCTTTCTCCTCTAACCTCAATCTGTGGGCGACTCCAGGCCAGGGATTGGCCTCACATGGTTCCAGATGAGCTCATTGATGCCCACAGGCTAGCCTTGCTCCTGCCCAGGTCTCTTGACAAGAGGTCTCGTCCTTCCTGTCAGCCCTCTGTGCCTGAACCGAGCCCATCTTTGCCCTGAGACCACACACCCTTCTGCCCCGGTTTCTAGATCTTCCAGGCCCCCTGGATCTTCCATCCATCTCCCTGAGCCTCCACACTCAGGTCTACACCATGTCTTCCCAGATTCCATCATGATCTCTTTCATGGCCCTCCTTCCCCCCAGGCCACCACCCTAGACCACATCTTCTCATTGCTCACCTGGTTTTATACAGCAGCAGCTTCTAACTAGTTTGCCCGTTTGGCTCTTTCCATCATCACAGCATCATAGAGGGAAATAAGCACAAGTGCTGGAATAAGAGAGGTTCGAATCAAATCCCGATTCTGCCGCTTGCTAAATATCTTGCTCAGACAAGTTATTTAGTTTTTATGAGGCTTAGTTTTTGTTTTGTTTTGTTTTTTAACACAAAATAACGTAATTTAATGGCTTATGTCCCGGGAAGTTTCAGCTGGGTCTGGCTTCAGGTGCAGTTGAATCCAGGGCCTCCAACAAGGTCATCAACCTCCCTCTGCATCCATTCTGCTCATCTCTGTTTCTTTGGTGCGTTGGCCACATTCAATCCTGTTACAGAGGTTTTCTCTAAGTCATGGGAAACCAGCTTCAGATTCCCCAAACTGGCGTGGTTATAGCTTGAGATCCAAAATGAAGAGGAACTCTCTCCCACGGTCCATATCTTTAACATCCCAGAAGGACTCAGTTTGGTTCTGCTTGGATCACAGGACCACTCCTTGGATGCCTTGCTGTTGGCAGGGCAAAGGGCCCAACGATTGGACCTCACGCCACACCCATGGCCAGGGACTAGGTGGGACACTGTGATTGACAATTTCACCAGAATCCCATGGGCTGGGAAGGAGCACTCTTCCAATGAAGAGGGTTGCTATGAGGCACAGGTTTCTAATATATAAAATAGCAATTACATATAACCATTACCTCATAAGGATGTTGTAATAGTTAAATAAAACGTCTCATTAAGTACATAGCACTTAGCAATAGTAAGTTCTCAAAAAATGATGATCCTACCTCTCTGATCCACCGGCCGTGAAGCCGCCCGGGGGGATCCTCCAAACCATAAATTTTATTATGTCAGGGCCCTGTTTAAAAAAAACAATGAGGAGGGCCGGCCCAGTGGCACATCGCTTAAGTACCCACGTTCTGCTTTGGCAGCCCGGGGTTCGCCGGTTCGGATCCCAGGTGCGGCCATGGTACCACTTGGCACGCCATGCTGTGGTAGGCATCCCACAAATAAAGAAGAGGAAGACAGGCACGGATGTTAGCTCAGGGCCAGTCTTCCTCAGCAAAAAGAGGAGGATTGGCAGCAGTTAGCTGAGGGCTAATATTCCTCAAAAAAAAAAAAAAATTAAAAAAAAAAATGAGGGGCTGGCCCCGTGGCCGAGTAGTTAAGTTCATGCGCTCTGCTTTGGCGGCCCAGGGTTTCGCCAGTTCATATCCTGGGTGTGGGCATGTCACCACTCATCAGGCCATGCTGAGGCAGCAGCCCACATGCCACAACTAGAAGGACCCACAACTAAAAATATACAACTATGTACGGGGGGGCTTTGGGGAGAAGAAGGGAAAAATAAAATCTGTAAAAAAAAAAAAACAAGAAACAAAACAAAAACCTTAGTTGTAGCCCTTCTTTTTGTTCAGAATAAAATCCAAACTGGAATCAGAGGCCCTACCCCTTCCTGTACTGCTCTTCCAGGCAGGCCTCTGCTCCAGCCTCCCCACCCGGTCTGCCATCCTCCTGCCCCTTGGCACCCAGTGCTTCTCCAAAGCTGAGCTCCTTGCCTAGCCTGGAGCGGCCTCTTCCTCCATCAGTGCTGACAGTCAGTGGTCACGCTTTGCAGCCACCGTGTCAGCGGGTGAGCCTCCTCTCCTTGCAAGATTAAGGTGCCCTGGGGCCAGGGCCTCTGCTCCTGCCCAATGAGAGGCCACACGCTGCAGCTGAGGGTCAGGGCCAGGGAGTGGGGAGACAGTGTCCAGAGTCCCTGCGCAAGTGAGTTCCCTCTCTGAGCATGGGGTGGGGAAGGTGAGGGGCTCTTTCACTTAGTCATCCAACTATTCTTTTCTTTTCTTTTGGTGAGGAAGATTGTCACTGAGCTAACATCTGTGCAAGTCTTCCCCTACTTTGTACGTGGGATGCCACCACAGCATGGCTCCATGCATGGTGTAGGTCTATGCTTGGGATCTGAACCCATGAACCCTGGGCCACCAAAGCAGAGCGTGCGAACTTAACCACTACGCCACCAGGCTGGCCCCCAACCATTGTTTTCTGAGAGCCCCCTAGGAGCTGGGCACCCTGCTAGGTGCTGGGATCACAGAAAGGAATAAAACAGACAAGACTGCCCTCATGGAGCCTGTGGTGAGCCGGGGGTGGGGGACAGAATTTTTGTGGGGAAAGACTGATGATTGCAAAATAAATGCACCAATAAATACATAGCTGCATATCATGCAGGTGCTATGAAGGAAAAGGGGAGCAGAGGGAAAGAGCGGGATAGAGAAGACTGCATTTGGATTGGAGGTGAGCAGCAGTGTCGGTGTCGGTGTCGGTGTCGGGAGGGGAGATGTTCTGGAGGACAAAGCACTTGGGTGGGGCCTGAAGGACTTAATGGGGGAGAGCAGAGGAGAAGGTGCTCCAGGGAGCGAGAACCACAGGGTAAAGCTCTGAGGACAGTCTGGGCTATCCAATGTCCCATGGCCAGTGCAGGACAGCTTGAGGCTGGATCGTGCAGAACCTGAAGGCCACACTAAGTATTTCTTATTCTATTCTAAGAGCAATGAGAAGCCACTGAAGGATTTTAAAAAGGGGGTGCCATCCCATTTGTGTTTTTAGGAGTTCCCTCTGGCTGCTAGGTGGAGATGGATCGAAGAAAAGAGGGAGCGAAGGAAGAGCCAGCAGGAGGCTGTTGAGATGCTCGGGCAGAGAGTGGAGAGAAATTCAATGGAGGGTGCAGACTCTGTGATGTATTAGAAGGGATGTGGGGGTGGGGTGAGGGAAAGGGAGGTGCCAAGAATGGCTCTCTGGCTTTGGTCACCAGGTGGCTGGTGGTACTGTTTTCAGAAATGGAAAAATGAATCAGGCTGGGCTTTCTGGATGTCAGTTTTTGTTTGTTTCAATCCAGAAGAACCCTAACTTCTCAGCCTGAGCCCTCGCTTCATCTCCTTTCTGCATCATCTCTTGCCCTCTCTCCCTACCCTTGACTCCAGCTCCGTGTGACCCCGTCCAGGCTGCTGGCTCCCCAACCTGCCCTTCCCACTTTAACCTGACTCCCCACTCTCATCCTGGAGCAATGCCCTCCCTGCCCCCTTTCCAGGCCCTGGTGGCTGGGGTGTTGTCTGTCAGTTTGTTCTCAAAGCATCTGCCTAGTGTATTTCTTCCTGGAAAAAATTGTTGAGAAGGGTAGAGAGAAGAGGCTTATTTCTTTTTCAGGAGGTCCCTGAGGGCAGGGACTGGGTCTCGCTCATCAGATTGGGGGCTCCCTAAAGGCAGTGGCTGTGTGCCCCCTGAGACTGGAGCTTCCTGTGGGCGAGGGGAGGGCCCTTCCCCCTGGCTCTGCTTCTCCAGGACTTCCCTGCCTGCTGGCCAGCCTGAGGTGAGAGGGAAGTTACAGTCCCGAGCCCAGAGATTGGATCAGTGAGGGGCCACCTCACCCAGCTTCCCCTTCACCCTGAAGGCCTTCTTGGGCTTCTTCTCCGTTACCTGGGCCTTTATCACTCAGCAGTGCGTGTGGGAGAAAATGCACAGGAGCCCCTCTTCCCTCCTGCATCCTGAAAATTCTGTGAGATCTCTGCTCTGTGGACACTCTTCTCTGAAATCCAAGCTTCTCAGACCCCAAGCACAGGAGAAGGCGAAAGAGAGGCCTGGACCGCTTGGCCCCCAGTCCTGTGAGGGCAGGAGCACGGAGGGCCAGAGAGGGAAGGAGGGCAAAGACGAGGCAGGAGGCATGCGTGATTCTCCTCTAGGGTTGGGGGCTGACAAACAAGGCAGGGATTCTAACAGGCACTATGAGAGTCTGTGCCAACATCTTAGGGAAACCGAGGCATGCACACACATCTACCCAGGAGACAGGAGAATGAAGCTGAAAGAAAGGCCCAGCAATGTTAAAAGCAAGAGATTCATGGGGCTGGCCCTGTGGCCAAGTGGTTAAATTGGCGCACTCCGCTTCGGCGGCCCGGGGTTTCACCGGTTTGGATCCTGGGCACGGACATGGCACCGCTCATCAGGCCATGCTGAGGCGGCATCCCACATAGCACAACCAAAGGCACTCACAACTGGTATATACAACTATGTACTGGGGGGCTTTGGGGAGAAGAAGAAGAAAAAAAAAAGAAGATTGGAAACAGTTGTTAGCTCAGGTGCCGATCTTTGAAAAAAAAGAGAGAGATTCAGGGCACAGCTGAGACAAGAGGGGAGAAAGCCCAGGGTCGGGGGGTGAAGCCCAGGGCCCAGGGGGGCTCACTCAGAGGTCCCCAGAACCCAAGGGTAACTCCATGCCTATGTGTGGCAGGAAGAGCTGAGTTACAGGAATCCGCATGGGACGGACTGGCAGAGTGGGGCCAGAGACAGGAAGCCCTGAGAGAGAGAGAGAGAGAATGAGAGCGAGAGAGAGAGAGAGAGAGAGAGAGAGAGAGAGAGAGAGAGAGAGAGAGAGAGAGAGGGAGAGAGAGAGAGAGAGAAACTGGGCTGGGCTGGGAGGGGAGGGGAGGAAAGGGAGGAGACTGCGGGAGGGGGACGCAGAAGAAAAAGGGGACAGGGAAGGAGAGGAGAGCTCGACAGAAGAAGGAAGACTGGGATACTCAGGAGGAGAGGAGGAGGGGGAAGAAAGAGCCCCAGGGTTGGAGGTCAGAGGAGAGGGGGCTTGCTGGTCAGGCCCTCTCACCCCAGGTCCTGACAAAAGGCAGCCTAAGGACTGCCACAGGCACAAGATGGATGGGCCTGGGGCCGCCAGGCCTTTTGTGTCGGGGGATGAAAGGGAGCAGGCTCTGAGGAGAGTCCGCCAGGGTCCCCCACCTCTTGTTGGCTTCCCTGCCTCTCCCCACACTGACCTCAGGAGCCTTCAAACGTTGGTGGGGGGCCAGGCGGCGGTAGGGGAGAGACTAGGGGGGCGGAGAGGAGGAGCTAAGTCCAACCAGGGATTTCTCCTGGCTGGGCCAGTCATACCTGAGAAAGATAGGGGACAGGGTAAGGGACGGGGGTTGGGGGGGACGGAACGAGGGGGTCCTTCAGTCTATGTAGAAAGTGAATCAGTCATATGCAAATAAGATGCAAACGCAATGCCCAGGAGGCCCAGCAGAGGTAGTTGAGATTTGTTGTTCTAGTGAGGGTCAGGGGTCCCCTGGTCGGGTCCTCCCTCCTCTCCTTCAGGCCTGCCCCTGCCCTCCTGACCTCTTGGCTTCTTCCTGCCCCTATACTCGTTGGCGCTGCCAGTCGAGAAACCAGTTCTGTTCCTGCCCTGGATAAGGATCTCTGGGCTGGGCTCTTCCCAGGCAGTGGCAGAAACCTGGCAGGCTGACAGCACCCCTGCCCCCTGCCTGGGCTGCCAAGATCTCCCCCCTCCAGGAACCCTTCCCCCAGGCGGCCCAGCCCCTTCCTCACCATCTCTCCCACGGTCCAGTACCACCTTCCTTCGGCCCCTAGCCAGAACCCCGTGCGTGCTGTCTGGTCTTCGTCTCCCTTGCTTCAGGGTAAGCTTTGTAGCTCTTACAGAAGGAGGGCACCTGGAGGAGCCCCCTTCCTCTCCATTTAGCTCCAGGCCCCAGGGAGTGCCTGCTATGTCTAACCCTCTTCTCTTCCAATGACACCGGGACCCTCTAGAGGGCGTTGCCCAGCCCTACTCCCACTGGAAGACAAGTTCTCAGAATAGCCTGCAGGAGGCAGGGTCCCTCCTTTGGCTTTTTCCCTGGGTGTCCCAGAAGCCAAGCCCTCTCCTCCCAGCCCCACTCCTGCTTCCCATCAGATGGGCGTTTGCCTGAACCACCTCTGCCCCTCCCCCCAGGCTCCCCACAGGGCTGACAATGGCTCACCCGCAGCAGGGTCAGCCCCTTGCCCAGGCACTGGCACGGAAGGGGGTAGGGTGAGATGGGGTTAACCCCACTTAACCCCGGCCCCTGGTCTCCTCTTGTACCATCATTCATTTCCCATGACATTCTGGTCCCTTTCCCATCCCTTGGAGCTGCAGCCCCCCACTCCTCCAACTAGAAGGGACTTTAAAAGGTCATCTCCTCCATTCTTCTGCCTCCCCATCAAATGACTGCCTGAGTTCTGCCCCTGCCCAGCGCCCGGAAACCTCAGACTGCTCCTTGTTCCTGTCCCAGCCCGCCACAGGGTTGGCCAGCTTCTCCCAACTTCGCCCAGAGATCCAGACACTTGGTGGGGACATGGACAAAGCAGAGAGGTGGGCAGTTCTGGCAGCCATCAGGGGAGATCTGGAGGAGACGGGACTTGGGCCTCAACTCCCACCCCCAGCCCCTGAGGTGACCAGGTGTGTCAGGCCAGCCCGGGATTCAAGCCTGTGACCAGGCTGCAGCAGCCTGACAGCTGCATAGTCCTGAGCAACAGCCCTCCCTTCGGGTGCCCCGAAGTGGAATCTTAGAAGCTGGGAATTCTAGAACCAGAGAACAGGGTCCCAGAAGGAAGGGCCCTCAGGGATCACACCTCTCCTTTGTTTGAGAGGAAACTGAGGACCAGAAAGGGGTGTGGCCCACTTGGGGGGGGTCACTCAGGCAGCAAGGAAATCACTGGTAACATAAGGGGGCTGCTTGGGTTCAGTACAAACCAGCGTGGTCCCAACAGGTGTCAGCCGGACCCCTCCACATCCTCTTTCTCTCTGGCGAGGGGAGTGGGCTCTTCACTGTGTGGAGAAATGTCAGTCTTCCCCATCGTTTGTCTTCCATCTCACATCCTGGAGTGGGACAAGTCCGTGCCCCTCACTGGGCCTCTCTCCTCTCCTTCTGGGCTGCAGATTATGATGCCAGGACAGGTGTGCGGCCCTTCAGGCTCAGGTGGGGGATTATGGGCTAAGGTTTCAGCAGGAGCTTAAAGGCAGGGGGATCCTGGGCTCAGCCCAGAGCTGCCTAGGGAAGGAGAGCCACCCTCCCCTGACCCCACCTGGAGGAGGGACACCAGAGCTTCCAGAGGCCTGAGCCAGTGCCAATCCACCTCAGCCCGCGTGGGGATGTGCCTGAATATAAGAAAACCCAAGGCCGGGTCATCCCCGACGTGGGTCTCACGGGGCACAGACATCGTCACTGTTTTCAGGGGTACCTACAAAGGCAGGACCCAGGCCCAGGCCCAGCTTAGGTCATATTGGCAGCATTTATTCCCTCGACGAACATTTACAGAGTGTCAACTATGTGCCAACACTGTGGTGAGCAGGACCAGTGCCATCCCTGACACAAGAGCTGTCACCCGTCCTCCGTCCACCAGCCATTGAGGAAATAGTCCCAGAGCTCCCACTATGTGCCGAGCCCCTCATTCCCGCCCCTCCCCCTCAGTTCCAGCACCAGGGCTGGACCTCCACAGCAAGCTCTGGGGGCCCGAGGTATTGAGGAGCGACCTCTCTCGCGGCGCTGGCCTCCGCCATCCTCAGCCCGCCCGGGGCCTCAGCTCTAGCCCTTTTCCTTGCTGCTGTGTGTAGAGGCTAAATCTTTTAGTGAAACTTTCCTGTAATTGTCCTCCTGTCTTCACAGCCCCTGACTCAGAAATCAGCCAAGGAACTGCGGAAACACAGAGGCAGAAAGGTGATGTCATCCTGTTCAGCAGCCTGTCTCAGGGCAAGAACGTGTGCCACAACCCAGCTGAGCCCCAGGACTTAACAGAAGGAGAGATTCCACCCTTCCACAACCCTCTCTGGCTCACTCCTTCCCATGGCCCGCATTTCTCCAGGGAAGTCCTTCCTGAGGGCTAACTTAAGTGTCTCCTGCTGTAGCTTCAGCTCCTCACAGGGATGGAACCCAGAGGACACACTAGGTGTGTCCTCAGGGACTGGTAGGGGAGTAGTGTGGGTGCAACCAGGTGGGGCCACTTTCTCCACATCTCTCATCTTTCTTTTCTTTTTCTCTTCTCCACCCCTCATTCTCTTCCTTTCCCTCCTCTCTCTTCAGTCCCCCACTCCAGCTCCTGGCTGGGAGCCAGCATTGTTCCTGCCTGGCTGCGGGCTCCCCTTCTCCTTCCCTCCCTGCCCTCTCCAGCCAGCCCAAGGGGCACCAGCCTGCCCAGTCCCTGCTAAGCAGTAGCCCCAGGCTGGGATGGAAGGAGACCTTTCTGCTCCCATCCTCTGCTTCCACATCATTCTGCCCTTCCAGTCCCCACTGATGGCCTCCACCCTGACATAGAAGGCCAAGGAGCTTGGGTTACTCAGGGCCCTTGGTTATTTTTAATGCCACCAGCTCAGAAGATAAATATACCTCCACCTGCCCCCAGCTGCCCCAGACAGACCGACACCCCCTCCAGATCCCCTCCTTCCCCACCATTCATCCAGTCTCCTCAGTCTTGACTGGTCTCTAATGCCTTCTCTTCACATTCCCTCTTAGTGGGTCCCCCTCCACACAGGACTCCCAGCAGGAAGACAGCTTGACCCCCAAGTCCCATAGAAGAGGTGGGAGGTGTCCTGGTGTCCTGGCTCAGGTGAGAGCGGTTCCCCTGCAGATGGCAGGGGCTGGGGCAGGACTCAGAAGGTCCTGAGGGGGAGGCGCTGGACCAGCTCCTGCAGGTTGATCTGCCTTCTTGACCCCCGTCTGGGCCCTGGGGCCCCCCTCCTGCTTGGCCAGAGGAGGAGCTGGTGGTCAAGAGCCCACTGCCTCCTCCTCTCCCTTATCCCACTCCACTTCTGTTGGATCCCATCATGCAGGCAAGTTCTTCCTGGAATTAACTTCCAGGCCTCTTGCTTTGGCCCAAAGAATCCCCTGGCAATCATTCAGGGCGGGAACTGCAGCTCTCCAGGGAAGACAGAAGAAGGACTCGGAGATCAAGATGGGTTGTTGTTCATTCCTAGATTGTTGGAGTCCCCGGGGTTGAAGAAGCCACCAGGGTCCTCTAGGACAGATCCCAGAACGAATCACCCTACAGTGGGTTAGCTAGTCTGTGCACCGACAACAGGACGCTCGCTCCCTCTGGTGGCCACCTGCTCCAGTACAGTCACAAACCTTGTGACCATCTCCTTTGTCTGGGCTGCCTCTGGGCCCTATGGCTTCCACCCATCAGGCCTAGTTCTGCTTCCTGGATCCACACAAGAAAAGTCTGAGCCCTTTTACCCAACAGCCCTTCAGACACTTAAGATGACCCCACCCTCGGTATTTATTTTGAAATTTTTCATGTGCTCTGTCAGTAAAGAATTCTGTTACACACAGTGGTGTACCTCTCCAGCCCTCTTGCGTCTCCTTCCTTCTCTCCAGAGGGAACCACTATCCTTTCCTTTATCTTTATCACTATTTTGCCTTCAAAAATATTTTTACTACATATGCAGGTATCTTCAAATAACATATTGTTTTGCAGGGATTGAACCTCTAAAGAATTGGAATCTGCAGGTTGCTTTTCCTTCTGAACATGATCTTCGTGAGGTTCATCCACGTTGATGCGTTTCCACAGTTGTATTGAATGAACACACCTCACGGTTGTGAGAAATTTAAAAACCTGACCCAACCAAGACGATGTGGAACAATGGGAACTCTGTGCACTGTGGAGAGTAAACTGATATGCCCGCTTTAAAAAAATGATGTGGCCATATCCAGTGGCTGTGAAGATGTGCATGCCCTCTCACCAGCGATTCCCTCCCAGATGGCGCCGGAGAGAAAGGCACACACCTGTGCACCAGGAGCCCCGGGTACGACTATTCACGGTGGCCTGGGTGGTCACGGCCCAAACACCTCTACATCATTCACTCATTTATTCATTTCACAAACATTCACTGAGCTCCTGTTGAGGACCAGGCACTGGGAATTTGGACCGGACAGACTGGGTCCCTGCCCTCACAGACATGAGCTCTCCATGCTCAGGTGGGGCGAGTATGATTGTCCCCATCTTATAGGTAAGGAAGCTGAGAGTCAGAGAGGTTAAGAGTCTCTCCAGGACACAAACTCGGGTCTGGCTCCAGAGCCTGTGCTCACAACAGCCTTGCCACACTGCCTCCAGGTGCCTGGTCTGTCAATGGGCACACTACAATGTGTCTGTGCCCTCTTTCCATGGGGTGTGGTCAGACCAGCGTGGGGTTAGACAGTCAGTCAGCAAACACCTGATGGAAGCTCAGTGTGGCGAGGGTCTCGAGGTATTGCCAAACACAGACCTCCCCTCCAGCTTCCTCCCTGATATTCCTGCCCAGCCCAACTCTAGCCCCCTAATCCCAGCTCCAGTCCAGCCCAAGCTGGCCTTCCTCTGTCCACTTCTCCCCAAAACTGGATGGGTGGGTGGTGGAAGGATAGAAAGACTTGACTTTACCCAAAGGAGAGGGTTTGAGCCCAGTGGTCATCTCCTGGCTCCGTGTAGCCTAAGATGTCCCTGAGTTAGATGCTAGGAGAAGCATGAGGGACAGTATCGATTAAAGACTTCCCTCCCAGGTCTTTAATCTCTGACTCATCCTCTGACTACCCCCCATCATCACCTTCTTTCTCAGAGAGAAAGAGGTGCAGGCTGAGTCAGAACTCTGAATTCAAGTTCTAGCTGTGTGATCTTGGATAGGTTACTTAACCTCTCTGAGTCATTTCCTTAGGTGGAAAACCATGGATGATAATGAGCTAATATTATCTGCCTCACTGTGTAAATCTTAGTTTTAAAAATCTAGTTTCCTGGGGAATAAAGCCTTTCTTGAGGAAATAGCAGCCCCTGGTGGCTGTGTCCTAAGGCAACCCCCTTCTATTTTCTGCAGAGCATGGACCTGAACTGAGTCAGGAGGTGGGCAGGTTGCCTCTTTGCAAGTTGCTCATCAAAACCACAGACCCAGAGGGCCAGAGATAGAAGGGAACAGCTCATCGGTCTGTGCCCATACCCTCCCTCACTGAACGACCTCCTCCATGCTTCACCTCCTCCCTTATCGACCTCACCCGTGCATCATGCTTCTAAATCTGACCCCAACCCTGCACATGTTCCCATGCCACCATCCCTCCCCGTCCCTAAGGCCAAGCCACACATGTGAGTCTTCCCCGTCCACACCCTCCACCCCTGGAACTGATACCTCCTAAATATTCTCACATCTCTTCCCTCCTCTCCACCCCTAGATTTGAGTCTTATCACCTTGAACCCTGATGGTGGCCACTGCCTCCTTACTGGCCATCCTGCCTGTCCCCCACCCCACCCCAGTCCTCCTCAGTGATCTTTCTAAGCTGCAGATCTGTCCAGGTTACCCTTCCATTGAGGTGAAATCCCTTCCACGGTTCCTCACGGGAAAGGCCCGAACATACCCACTCTGCCGCTCCCTTTGGCCCCTGCCCTGTTCATCACGCCTCTCTACCTGGATCACACGCTATGGCTCCCATGTCTGTCCTCCAACATGCCCATCCTTGAGGATGGGGCTCCATATTACTCATCTTTGATTCCTTCAAAACATTTATTTGGTGCCTACTGTGAACCTGGCAGTCACGAGGTGCTTTAAAAGTAATATTTGAATAAATTAATGAGGAAACCAAGACCCAGAGAGGTGAATTGACTAGTCCACGGTTGCAGAGAGATGGGGCTCTTTGTGCAACGCTTTCCCACCCCACTGTGCCGTTCTTCAACCCCTCCACCCAGGATGGAGCATGGGGAGGCCATCTGCCCTGCTGTGCACGCGAGGGAAAGGAGGAGGCAGCAAAGGCAGCCCCATTACCCCTCCAGCTGGGAAAGGAGAAAATGAAGAGACAGGGAGCATTTCTGCTGCCCAGCCCCAGACCAGCTCCAAGCCTCCCTCGTGTGGATGGCGAAAAGCAGGAGGGGAAAGCAGAGGCCAGCCAGTACCCAAAGCTCTGAGGCCAAGGCCGGACTTCCCAGGAGGGGTGCCTGGGCCCCCCGTCTGCTCTGCTGATCACTTCCTTGGCACCAGCTGCCTCCCTCTCTCTGCTTCACCAGATCTCTTCGCACAGAGCTTCCCAGAGTTGTTGTCCCTCCTACCATCTGGTCTCCATGCTGCCTACTTCCCTCTTCCCATCTCTTTTCTTGTTGTCACAAGGCTTGTGACTCCTTGCTGACTTTTCCCTTTGCACACATGTCCAGCAGGACCCATCTAGCTGGGGAGTGGAGGGCAAGAGAAAAGGGGAACAGGGAGATGAACATAGGGGCTAAGTTAGGGATGGAGTGACGAGACAAGAGTGACCTCCGAGCCCCTCCCTGAACCCCTGCATTATGAGGCAGTGAAAGTGGGGGATAGGGGAGGTAACAAAAATGGAAGGTTTAGGTCTCTCTGCCCGCCACCCACAATACCGTTCTGTGCATCTCCCTCCCCTGTCCCTTAAGGACATTTTGGCAGGTCCCTTCTGAGGCTGCTTTCTCCTCTGCAGGAGGCAGGAGGAAACAGGAGTGCATGCCACTCACCTGGTGCCACAGTCAGCCTCCATCAGATGCGGATCTCCCTTGGGGGTGGTGATGCCTGAAGCCTGCTGCCCCATGGGGCTCCTTTCACGGAGTCCTCTTGGCCCACAGAACCTCCCCTGTCCTTCTCTGTGGCCCCTTCTATTCCTGGTATCTCTCTCCAGGGTCTGTTTCCCCTGCTGAGTCAGGCCCAGAGGGCAGACGAGCAGGCCCCCTGCTCTAAAGGACAGCTGCCTAGGAGTGGACACCAGTGGGTCCTTCAGGCAGACCCCAACCTTGGGAAGTCGTTCCCTAGGAAGCCCACACCCACTCGCCTTGGTGGGCATCGACCTTCCCTCTGAGCAGAGGAGGGGGAAGCCACAGCCTGCCCTCAAGGGCTGGCCGCCCCGCGCTCCAGTGCGCCGCACACTCCCTCTTCACACTCGGCCTGCCTTCTCTCAAGCAGACTGGGGCAGGGGTAAGACCTGCGGAGGGGGTCTGCCAACTTTCTTTAGGATGTGTGTGGTACTTAGAGGCTATTATTTTTAATTTTGGAGCTTAGCCTCAATCTTGAGACATGAGTTGATTCAGAAAGTCTTCATCAAACATTATTCCAAGCCCTCTTACCCTCTGGTCATCTTCCTCTGGGATCAACTCCAAACCATCAGTGTCTCTCTTAAAATACAGTGTCCTCCAGGTGTGGAGGGCAATGGGAATGTCACCACCTCTGATCTGGACACCTTCTATCTACTAACCACTTACCTCCTTTTTCCTTTTCTAGGCTGCCACTTCACTGTGTTGGTTTGTAACAAGCTTGTGGTCCGCTAAAACTCCCAGGTTTTCTTCACTAGATATGCTCTATTCTTCACTCTTCCATTTTTATGCTGTTGGGTTTTTTTTTTAAAGATTGGCACCTGAGCTAACATCTGTTGCCAATCTTCTTTTTTTCTTCTTCTTCTTCGTCTTCTTGTCTTCCCAAACCCCTCCAGTACATAGTTGTATATTCCAGTTGTGAGTGCCTCTGGTTGTGCTATGTGGGACGCCGCCTCAGCATGGCCTGACAAGCGGTGCCATGTCTGCGCCCAGGATCCGAACCTGTGAAACCCCAGGCTGCCAAAGCAGAGCGTGCGAACTTAACCACTCAGCCACAGGGTCATCACCGTTGGGTTTTTTTTAAACCAAAAGCAGAATTTTACATTTATGCCTTTAAATGTCATCTTCTTCTATTCCGTTGAAATCTAACCCTCAGTTCTTGCATAATCTCTAGATTTGATAATACGGTTTCCACATTTTCATTTAGGTCTTTAATAAAAACTTGTAGTAGTCAGGACGGAGGACAGAACCCCACCGGGCAGCCCCCAGGGCCCTCCTCAGCTCACTCAAAGACATCTCTGGGGACGGCTACTGGACTGTGTATCCACCACTGTAGTCTCACATGGCCCACGTGTCCTGGGCCCAGGGACACAAGAAGTGCAGCCAAAGGCCTCATAAAAATCCCAGTAATCCAGTGCAAGCCCCAGGGGGAGGAGAGGAGGCCACTTGGCCCACCGTGTGCCCATTGAGGGCCTGCTGGCCTCCATGGAGGGCCTCAGTTTCCTCAGTTTTTCATTGCTTCAAAAGTCAGTTATCTTTTCAGAATCTGCTGGTCATTAATGTTGCTCCGCCAGGTTGTGGTTGCTAGAACCCACTTTCTCCTGCCTTAGGAAAATCAGGACCATACTCTTCCACATTCTAGATCATCTGTGCTCCCCATGACCCTCAAATCTCACCGCGACTGGTTCACAGGAGGAGAGTTTGCTCCAGCTTCATGACGTTCATGGTGATCGTCCTCAGAAAGCCTCTGTACAAAGACTTCCCCTACCTGGTCTTGCTTGATCCTTAGGACAAGCTTATGGGGATGGGTAAGTATTAACTCTCTTCACCAAACAGGTAAACTGAGGCTCACTTAGAGAAATTATGTGACTTGCTGAAGGTCATTCGGCTAGAAAGTGCCAAAGTCAGACTCAGTGCTCTTTGCATGAAACACAGTTACAAATGGCTGCCCTCTGGGTGAGAGAGAGGGGTCCAGCAGAGAAATTCCCCTCCCCAATGCCACCCCACCTCTCCAGGGGACCCCCTCAAGGATCCAAGAGGATCTCAAGTATTCAGCATCCCTCTCCCCACAGCCAGGAAGTGAAAGAGGAGGGAGAGAGCCCAAGTCAGCTCTCCTGGACACAATTCTTGGGAACCCCCAGCCCAAACCAAACAGCAGGACTTGTGAGGTAATGTGAGGATGGAGAGGACTCAGCCTCTGGTCTGCACTAGCTCGCGGTCAATCCCCCCCTCCACATCCGCCGGCCCCTCCTTGGCCTCCATTCCAAATATTGAGAGTGAATTCCAAAGTCCAGTTGGCCTGGGGACCGAGGCCTGGGTGGACAGATGACCCCACCGGGTCATTATAGATATAAAACCCTCTCCATTCCCTGTGCTCCCCAGCTCTCTGTGGACACCTCGGGAGATAAGTATTGTTGTAATCTTCTTGTGTCTGCTTCACCACCAGACTGTGCGTGCCCATCACTGTTGCCCTCACCTCACCAAGCTCTGAGCTCCTCCGGGGCTGGGACAGAGTGCTGACACATAGTAGGTGCTCAATTCACACTTAGAGAGCTAAATTGGATTTACATGAGCAGAAATTCCTTCCCCAAGGAGCCCCTTGGCCTCGTTATCCCTGACTCTCTCAGTCTGGCCCGGCCTCCCCTTCACTCTACATACCCCAAATGTTGCCTGTTCGTCACTACCCAACTGAAGGACCACCCCCCACCCCCAACCAGGCTTCCCAACTACTCCCACCCTCAGTGAGCTCTTCTCTTCATGAACTGTAGAACCTTCAAACGATGTTTTGAACATTCAATCAGATAATGCAAGTAAAATGTGAGAACGTCATCTGACGCATCACAAAGGCTCAATAACTTGGGGCTGGTCGTGATGAAGCAAACAGCAGCCTCTTCTTTCTGCTTCCTCTTACTGTCTAGGTCTGTAAGCCACCAGGGGGCGCCCTCTGACCAAAAATTCTTGATACCGAAGGCAGGATGGGGCGCACTTCCCTGAGAACTGGGTGAGGCCCTCCACTACTAAAGTGGGTGTGTGAACCTCAGGTAGGAAGAGCTGTAGGAAGGATGGAGGGGAATGGTGGGGAAAACATCCTTTCACCTGATCTCTCCGTTTTCTGATGGAGACAGGCAATGGGGGGAGGGGAGAGGGGCGGGGTGGGGGAGCGGCATGTTCGTGTCTTCCAATATGATGTATTTGTTCTTGTTTTCGGGGCAGTGCCGCTAAGCTTTTCTTCTAGTATTTCAGGAAGGTGAGTATTTGCTATTTACAAAAATCATGGCCACATCTACCTTTTCAGCAATCCGTGAGACGTCCATCGTTGCTCCCATCTTACGGATGAAGAAACTGAGTCTTAGAGGAATTCAGTGAGCGATTCCTCTCTTGGGTGTGCTGAGTGACTCAAACTCGCACCCCCTCCCAGGTCTGAATCCGCCGGCGCCCAGTCCACAGGCTCAGCTCTGTGCATAACCTGCTTTTATCAGGGGTTGTGACCCTCACGGCGTCCTCCCTCAGAAAGCCACCTCCATCACATCGGATTCTCCACGCTTGGCTTCTCCTTTGGTTCCACTCGCCAGCACACCGTGGCGCAGGGACAGAGGCTGCCGCCGTTTCTCTGAACTCTAAGGGGTTAAGGCCTGGGTCCCGCCCCTTTTCCCGCCAGGCTGGCGGGAGTATGAATAGCGTCGCTCCCACTCCAGACTCTCAGTCGCTCGGGCTGCGCCTCGCCCCGCCCCGTCATTGTCCCAATCGGTCTCCTTTTCTTTTTCGTCCTAAAAGCTTTGAGAGCCGCTGGCTTGTCCCAGTGCCCCGCGTCTCTCCACCTTCGGTGGGTCAGACGAGCAGGATGGAGGGCTGCCTGGGGGAGGAATCTTTTCAGATGTGGGAGCTTAATCGGCGCCTGGAGGCCTACTTGGCCCGGGTCAAGGCGCTCGAGGAGCAGAATGAGCTGCTCAGCGCGGAGCTCGGGGGTCTCCGGGCACAGTCCGGCGACACCTCCTGGCGGGCCCGTGCCGACGACGAGCTGGCAGCCCTGCGGGCCCTCGTCGACCAGCGCTGGCGGGAGAAGCACGCGGCCGAGGTGGCGCGCGACAACCTGGTGGAAGAGGTGGAGGGCGTGGCCGGCCGATGCCAGCAGCAGCGGCTGGCCCGGGAGCGGATGGCGGAGGAGGTGGCCCGCAGCCGGCGCGCGGTCGAGGCCGAGAAGTGCGCCCAGGCCTGGCTGAGCAACCAGGCGGCGGAGCTGGAGCGCGAGCTGGAGGCTCTGCGTGTGGCGCACGAGGAGGAGCGGGCCGGCCTGCATGCGCAGGCCGCCTGTGCCCCCCGCTGCCCCGCGCCGCCCCGCGGGCCCCCAGCGCCGGCCCCTGAGGTGGAGGAGCTGGCGCGGCGGCTGGGCGAGGCGTGGCGCGGGGCAGTGCGCGGCTACCAGGAGCGCGTGGCCCAAATGGAGACGTCGCTGGGCCAGGCCCGTGAGCGGCTGGGCCGTGCGGTGCAGGGCGCTCGCGAGGGTCGTCTGGAGCTGCAGCAGCTCCAGGCCGAGCGCGGTGGCCTCCACGAGCGCAGGGCCGCGCTGGAGCAGAGGTTGGAGGGGCGCTGGCAGGAGCGTCTGCGGGCCACTGAGAAGTTCCAGGTGAGGAGGTCGGAGGGCCTGGGCAGACAAGGCCTGGGGAAGTCCCTATGGGGCTTGGAGACCTTCTTGGGAAGTGAATGGGAAGTGGGGGGTGGGGATGGCTGTCGAGTCAGGGGCCAGTTCTCAGAAAACCCATACCTGGTGCCAGAGGCCCTAAACTGTCTAGGCTCCGTCTAGGGTAGGGTGGGAATGGTGGAGGTTCAGAGCCCTCTCAAAGCACACCCCTGGAAGGGCAGGCGGGCCCAACACCATTGCAGCAGCCTCCTCCCTTTCTGGATGGCACCTTTTCCCTGTGATGGCACCTGGGCCCCTCCCTAGGCTCTGCTCTCACACAGGAGATGCCCAGGACTTTCCCTCTTTGAGGTGAGTCTGATGGTCTGCCCGCTCAGCTCAGCCTCTCCAAGTTCCTAACAGGCCTCCTCCCCCAGACAGGAGGGGGTGAGGGGCCCTGGATTAGTGGCTACCAGCCCTTCTTTCATGGTATGGCTTCTCAGCTCCCCGAGCACATTCCAGACGCCTGGGACAGCTGCTCCCCCTCTCACTGTGCAGAAGTGACCAGCAGCTGAGAAAACAGCCTCCTGCCTGGGCCAGACAGAGGTCTCACCATGGCTGCCCCCCCACCCCGCCTCTCAGAAGAGAAAGATTCCAGAACATGTGGGAAGTGGAGGGGGTGGGGGCCTGGTGTGAGGAGCAAGAGGCAGCGATCCGGACCGGGACTGTTTGGTTTCCAGTCCTTCAAGATCCAAGCCTCTTGATTAATCGTTTTTCCTTCTGCTTCCACTTTTTCCCCCTCCTTCTCTCTGTAACCCATCTCCTCACCTCCCCTTTCCTGTGGGAGCTGAATTCTGAGCAGCATGTGCTACCATTTAATCAGCATCCTCAGAAGAGGAGCCAGGCCGTGGGAGAGGGCTGAGGGGCCACTGTGCTTCTCTGGGAGGCTCCAGAGGGGGCTCTCTGGGCAGGGAGGGAGGTCGGGGAGGCAGGAATCTGCTCTACCCAGAGTCAGTCAGGGAGCAGAAGATGCTGCTGCAGCAGCCAAGGGAGATGCAGGTTAGATAGCAGGAAGGACCCCGCCCCTTCCCTCACCGCCTCTGGCTTGCTCTGCAGCTGGCCGTGGAGGCTCTGGAGCAGGAGAAACAGGGCCTGCAGAGCCAGATCGCCCAGGTCCTGGAAGGTCGGCAGCAGTTGGCACACCTCAAGATGTCCCTCAGCCTGGAGGTGGCCACATACAGGTATGGGTTGAACCCTACCCCCAGGCACACAGATGCACACTTACATGTTGGGGTAGAGACTCCTCAGCTGAAGGGGCCCAGAGCCACAGGTGGAAGCAGCTCTGCCACCACTAGGTTCTGTGACTGTAGGCTGATCCCTTCCACACCAGGACATTTCCCCCCTGAGCCCCTGCTGCTCCCCCATGGGCTCAGGACCAGAGAAGCATCCCATACCCAGGAAATCCCCCAAAGAGAGGTGACATTGCTGAGTGGGAGGGCCTCAGGAGAGTGGGCTGGACACGTGTGGGACATCTGCATCCATGCCAAGGGCCTGAAAAGCCTAGTCTCTGTGTGTGTGTGCTGACACCGAGGGCATGATGCCCTTGAGAAGCCTCAGAAAAGAGGAATTGCAGATGTGGGTTGGTGGCACGGACTTGCACTGACAAGTCTCCTTGTCTGGAGAATGGGAGATGGTCTGGGTGACGTCCAGACCCCTGAACATCATGGACCCTGACTCCTCTCAAACCCTAGTGCCCTCGGCCCCGCCCAGCCCTTCTGCCAACCGAATTGTCTGTTGAGTCAGGAGAGGCTGAGACCGAGGAGGTGCTGCTTCTCTGGCTCTGTGGCCTTGCGCAAACTCATAGCCTCTTCCCGGAAACTGGCCTGGTTGGCTGAGGATCCAGTGACAGAGCCTGAGGAAGGGGCTTTGCCAGTGTGAAGGGCTGTGTACCCCAAATCCACAGGGTGGGGGCCAGAGGCGGACAGGCTATGAGGACAGTGCCTGTAGAATCCACAGGCAAACAAAGGCAGGGGCCGTGGGACAGGTTCAGGGTGGGAGAGGAGGCAGGGCCCAGAGAGGGAAGGTCAGTGGGGATCCAGGGGTGAGGACGAGAGTACCTCTACCTTCACGGAGCACAGAGCTCAGAAGGCATGACCCTGCACTGGGAAGGACACAGGTGCGACCACAGAAAATACTAACCAGACTCCGAGAGCATGCAGAGGAACAGAGTAGATGTTCAGCATAACGTGTTGAATTGATTGGCCCTCCCCTCCCCTATTGGTCCCCTCCTCTTCAGTCCCCATGGGGAACTGGGGCAGGAGCATGGACACAAAGACCTCCATTGCCCTGAGAGGCTGGGGATCCAGAGTACTTAGAGATCCCAAGATGAAGGCCTTGACCCCCAGTCAAACCACCAAGGGGAAGGGGCTGGGCAGGCTCAACCGCTGGTTTTTGAGGCGTGAAAAGGATTTGGAGAGAGGGAGCTGAATTCATTTGCTTTTGTCTGTGACCAGCTCTGGGGGCCCCAGGAGAGGAGGAGGGAGCCTATCCCATGGGAACGGCCTGAGAATTCCCACTTCCCCTGGGAAGCCCCCCACTCAGACCCTCCAGATGGCTGCGTGGACAAAGGCAGCAATTAGCATGAGAATTGGCCCCCCACACGGAGGATGAGGTCACTGGGCTGGGAGGTGGGGAGAAGGAGACTAGTCTAAGCCTACGTGGGTGTGTGTACACTGTCTCGACTGTGTGGGAATCTGCTTGTGTATTTGTGAGTCCAGCTGTGTGTTCCAAATAAGTGCGTGATGCTGTGTGACCAAGTGTGTGATATCTGTGGGTATGTGACCAAGTAATGTCATGTGCACAGCCAAGCGTAACCCTGCGTGTGGCTTTTGTGTGATGGTGGTGAACGTGAGGAAGACGCCTGCTGTGCCAGGACATGCAAGCGCAGCTGTGGGTTTTTGCCGGCTAGCTTACCCACTGGCCTCTGGGCGGAGGGCTTACCCAGCTTTTCCTCCCTCATCCCCAGGACCCTTCTAGAGGCTGAGAACTCCCGGCTGCAGACACCCAGCAGTGGTTCCAAAGCTGCCCTCAGCTTGCAGGGTAAGAGGAGGGGCCAGGCCCCTGCCCCCTCAAACTCTATTCTTCTTTGCTCTTCATATCCCAGGGTGATTTCTTTTCTGAGAGGCACCAATCTAAATCTTGACTCCTTGGCCCCAACAGCAGCGGGTGCACTGTCAGCCCAGCCAGAGGGAGGTGGGGACAGGGCCCATGGGCACTCTTGCCGGAAATGGTCACTGCTCTGTGGCTTCCCGCTCTGCCCTGCCAGCACCTTCTGACACTGTCTCTTCCCCTCTGGCTTTCCAGACCCGAAGCTGGAGCTACATTTCCCTGGGACCCCAGAGGGCCGGCGCCTGGGACCTTTGCTTTCTGTCCTGAGCCCAACTCCCCTCTCCTCATCCTTGCCTGATACTCTCGAGACACCTGTGCCAAACTTTCTGAAGAGACAGGAATTCCTCCAGGCCCGTACCCCCACCTTGGCCAGCACCCCCATCCCACCCACACCTCAGCCTCTCCGCTCTGCTACAGATGCAGAGGTCAGAGTTCAGGATGCCCCTCTCTCCCTGCTCCAGCCAAAGGTTGAGAGGCAACAGGTTCCAGAGGCCATGTGGGCTGAAGCCAAGGTGGCTATCCCTGCCAGTGTCCTGCCAGGACCAGAGGAGCCTGGGGGCAAGCTGCAAGAGGCCGGTACAGGCCAGTCCCCTGAGGATCATGCCTCCTTGGCCCCACCCCTCAGCCCTGACCACCCCAGTTTAGAGGCCAAAGATGCAGAACCCAGTGGATCTAGAGTGTCCAGCAGGTTCCAGGAGGAAGGTGAAGGGCAAGTCTTGGGGCTGGCAGAGAAAGAAACAGCCGTAGAAGTCAAAGGGGTGAGCAGCTTGCAGCAGGAAACACAGCAAGAAGAAGGGGATCTGGACATGAAGGAAATCCAGGACTCCCAGGGTCCTTTGGAAAAAGAAACTCTGAAGGCTCTGGAAGAGGAGATTCAAGAGCCACTGATGTCTCTGGGAAAACAAAGCCATGAGACACTGAGCTCTCTCGAGAAAGAGAATCAAGAGTCTCTGAGGTCTTTAGAAGAAGAGAACTTAGAAACACTAAAAAGTCCAGAAAAGGAGAATCAAGAGCTATTGAAATCTTTAAAAGGAAAGGACATGGAGGTAGTGAGACCTCTGGAAAAAGAGACTGTAGAACTACTTAAGCCTATAGGAAAAGACCCACAGACATTGCAATCTCTAGAAAAGGAGAATCAAGAACTAATGACATCTCTTGAAGATAATCTAGAGACATTTTCATATCCAGGAGAGGAAAATCAAGAATTAGTGAGGTCTCTAGAAGAGGAGAACTTTGAGTCATTGAGAGCTCTAGAAAGGGAGAATCAAGAGCCACTGACATCTCAAGAAATAGAGAACCAAGAGACATCAAGACCTCTAGCAAAAGAGAATCAAGAGCTACCGAGGTCTCTAGAAGAAGAGGATCAGGAGACATCAAGACCTCTAGAAAAAGAGCATCCTGAGTCCCTGAAGTCTTTAGAAGATGAGAATCAAGAGACCTTGAGGGCTCCAGAAAAAGAGGACCAGGAGTCCCTTAGGTCTCTAGAAGATAAGAATCATGAGACCTTGAGACTGCTAGAAAAGGAGAACCAGGAGCCATTGAAGTCGCTAGAAGATGAGAACCAGGAGATAATGAGACCTTTAGAAAAAGAGAACCAAGAGCCACTGAGGTCTCTAGAAGAAGACCAAGAGACAATGAGACCTCTAGAAAAAGAGAACCAGGAGCCACTGAGGTCTCTAGAAGAAGAAGACCAAGAGACAATGAGAACTCTAGAAAAAGAGAACCAGGAGCCACTGAGGTCTCTAGAAGAAGACCAAGAGACAATGAGACCTCTAGAAAAAGAGAACCAGGAGCCACTGAGGTCTCCAGAAGAAGACGACCAAGAGACAATGAGACCTCTAGAAAAAGAGAATCAGATGACATTGGGACCTCTAGAAAAGGTGGAACCAGAGCCACTGAAGTTTCTTGGAAAAGACCAGGAGATATTGAGACCTCTTGAAAAAGAGAATCAAGAGTTATTAAGGTCCCTAAAAGAAGAGAGTGTAGAGGCAATGAGATCTTTAGAAACAGAGAATCTAGAACCACTAAAGTCTACAGGAGAAGATCTGGAAATATTGAAATCTCTAGAAACCCAAGAGCCACTCTGGTCTCTAGAAGAAATGAATCAGGGGACAATGAAACCACCAGAAAAGGAAATTCAAGAACCACTAGTGTCTGTGGAAGAGAATCAAGAGACATTGAGACCCCTAGAAAAGGAGAATCAAGAATCACTGAGATCTCTAGGAGAAAGGAACCTGGAGAATTTGAGATCTCCAGAAGAGGTAGACAAGGAAAGTCAAAGGTACCTGGAAGAGGAAGAGAACGTGGACAAGGGGGAGAATCAAGAGTCCCCGAGGCCTCTGGAAGAGGAGGGACAGGAGCTGCCGCTGTCTGCGGATCGGCAGAGGAGGGAAGATATGGTGGTGGGGGACCAAGAATTGGATCAGGAAATGCCCCCTGGGAGGGCTGGAATGGACAGCGAGGGTGAGGCAGAGCTCGACCCGAGGGCACAGGATGGCTTGGCTGGGGAGGAGGAGTCTATAGAGGAGGGGGAGCCGCAGCTGACTGCCGCAGGGGAGGGGTGCCCAGGGAGCCCTGAGCCCAAAGAGCACAGGATCCCAGCTGAGGGAGCCAGCGGGGAGGGAGGTGCTAAGGGCCTCCAAGACCCCGAAGGGCATCCGGAGCAGGTGGGGGCCCCAGGCCTCGGAGCTCCCTGGGGAATGTCAGAGGTGATAGAAGCAGTGTTGAAAGAGGAGGAGGAGGCCCCGAGGGATGGCCGAGCCTCCCCTGAGGTCACCTCAGGGTTAGAGACAGCTGTGGGTGTGGGCGAGGCTGCTATGGAAACTGAGCAGGGGCCTGGGCAGGAGGCCCTAGAGCTGGAGGACCCAGGCCTCCTGGCTAGAGAGGAGGTGATGGAGCCACTCCTGGGCGAGGAAGGTTTGGAGGCAAAGAGGGTACAGGGCTTGGAAGGGCCTGGAAAGGACCTAGAGGAGGCAGCTGCCCTGGAGCCAGAGCTCTCCACACTGCCTGGGAAGAGCAGAGACCCCCCGGAGCCTCCCAGGGGCTGGGAGGAGTCAGAGCCTGAGGCCCCCTGGGGAGCAGAGCAGGTGTTCCCTGCTGAGAACATGTGCCATGATGGAAGTGATACCCCTCAACCCAGGCCCCTGGGGTCAGAGGAAGCAGTGGAGGATGCAAAACCAGTCCTGGGGACCCCCAGCCCAAGGCCTGTTGAGCCCCGGTCACCCACCCCAATCTGTGAAGATGCCCCTGGGCCCCAGCCCCTGGCTGAGGGGAGCCAGGAGGCTGGCTGGGAGCTGGAGGGCAAGGCTGAGGCCCTGGAGAAGGTGGAGAGTGAGCAGGAGGAGTTGGGTTCTGGGGGGATCCCTGAGGGCCTCCAGGAGGAGGGGGAGGAGAGCAGAGAAGAGAGTGAGGCTGATGAGCTGGGGGAGACTCTTCCCGACTCCACTCCCTTGGGCCTCTACCTCAGGTCCCCTGCTTCCCCCAAGTGGGACCTGGCTGGGGAGCAGAGGCCCTCCCCTCAAGGGGAGACCAGAAAGGAAGGCTGGGATCCTGTGGTCCTGGCCTCTGAGGGCCTCAGGCCCCACCCCTACCCCTCAGAGGAGAGGGAGGGAGATGAGGAGGAGGAATGCGGCCGGGACTCTGACTTGTCAGAGGAATTTGAGGATCTGGGGACCGAGGCTTCTCTCCTTCCTGGGGTCCCTGGGGAGGCAGCAGAACCTCTGGGCCAGGTACCCCAGCTGCTTCTAGAGCCTGCAGCCTGGGATCGGGATGGGGAGTCTGATGGGTTTGCAGACGAGGAAGAGAGTGGGGAGGAGGGAGAGGAAGAAGATGAAGAGGAAGAGGAGGGGAGGGAGCCAGGGGCTGGGCGGTGGGGCCCGGGGTCCTCTGTTGGCAGCCTCCCTGCCCTGAGTGGCCCTCAGACAGGAAAGCTCCCAGAGTCTGAGACCATGGATGTCACCGTGCCCTGGGATGATGGCTTGAGGGGTGTGGTGGGTGATGCCCCCGTGACTGCCTTGGGGACTGTGTCCCAGGACAGCACTGAGCCCTCAGGCTCAGAAGAGGAGTCTAACCCTGCTCCCTTGGAGAGGGAGGACCAAGTCCCTGGCCCTCTGGAGACCCTCAGTGGGGAGGAGGACACAGGCCCGGGGGTAGGGGACACGCTTGGTGTCAATGGCCAGGGCCCCAGCTTGAAGGAAGAGTTGGAGCATGTGAATGGGGGGGTGGTGAACGGACTGGAGCAGTCTGAGGGAGTAGAGCAGGGGAAACTGGGGGCCCCCGAGGGGGACAGAGGGAGCCCCCTGGAGGGGGCGGAGGAGGGTGCCCTGAAGACCACTTGGGCAGGGGCTCCGCTTCAGCTGGGCCCCGGCCAGTTCCTGAAGTTCAGTCAGAGGGAAGGAGATGGAGATTCCTGGTCCTCGGGGGAGGACTAGAGAAAGAGCTCCTCTTCCTGCACTGAGGATGGGGGGGGCGGGGGAGATGTCCCTAAGGACCCTCCCTTCTCACCCTAACTTGTGTTCTCTTGACCCGTGGTTTCTGTCCGAGAGGCCTAGCTGGCCAAGGTGAAATGGGGTGTGGCAGAGGGACCTGTTCCAAGTATGGAGGCTCCAGGAGTAAAAAACATCCTGCCCGCACTGCCCCGTCAGGCTCAAGCCAGCTGAATCCCTGTGGATGAGGCTCCCTTTCCTGCACCTGCTTCCCTCCCCATCTCATCAGCTCCTCCCAGGGGAGAGGGCTCGCCAGCCCTGCCCCTCCTCACTGCACCCTCATGGGGTGTCTGGCCACCGGGGGAGGGGGAAGAGTGTTCCTATGTCCTGACCCCCCTATTCCTGCCATGCTGTGGCCCTGCCTGGCTCACCCCTGCCTCAATAAAGTAAAGCCTCTGCCTACAAATTCTGGACTCTTCTTTTCCCAGTTCAGGGGGCACCTCAGGGCCGGGGGAGGAGCAGAAGAGACAGTGGAGAGTTGGGGGGAGATGGGGACAGGAAGCCTGAGATGCTCGTATTGGGGAGGGGCTGCCTTCTGAGGAGAGGAGGACCTGGAAGTCCTCACAGGGGAGACAAGACAGACTAAGGCTGCAGGCAGCAGTGGTGGGGACCCGGGGAGGGCTGCGGGGTGCTGCTTTGCTGGGGGGGCCAGTCCAGGTGACCTCAGCGCCTGCGGAAGCCAGGCCCATCATCATCTCTGCCCACAACGCTGATTACAGGGACTAGGCCTTGGGGCCACCCCCACCCTTGCATGTCCTCCCCACTGGCCCCTCAGTGCCGCCAGCATAATAAGCCCCCTTGCCCCCTAAATCCAAACAATTGTCTGGCCTGTGATGTCTGCTCCAACTGGCTGGGTCAGAGCAGGGGGAGGGGAAGAGGGAGGCCTGTCCCGCCTTAGTCTGGCTGTGTGGCCTCCGGTCAGCATTTAACCTCTCTGAACATCAGACTCAGCCACACAATAAGGGGCACTGGGCTGGGTGACTTGGGAGCCTCCTGGGGCAGGGAGAGCAGGAGGAGGGTGGGGGAAGCTGGAGGGCTGCAGCTTAGATCTTAAGTAGGACTTTCCTCACGTGCTGATGCAGGAGACAGGGAAGACGAACGTGGAGGTGAGGAGAGAGATAAACTGAAGCTGTCAGGTGTGTGCTGATCATTGTGCTGTGCTGATAACTGGGGTTAGACTGGGGCGCACCCCGGCACAGCTTCTCCTCACCCGGACCCCTCTTCCCAGGAGTTCTCTGGGCCCCTGCATAGAGCAGGGAGGGAGCAGGGGTTTCTGGATTAGGCTCTGACAGCCTTGAAGTCAGGATACCCAAATAGAAACCAGTCCCCAGCTCAGCTATGCGGAAGGAAGGCCTCTGAATACCTCGGGTGTGGGGACACAAGGGCTGCCAAACAAGGGTTCCCCATTTGGAGACGATCTCAAATCTGGGAGCAGGCTCTTCCTCTCCTCAGGCCCAAGGCCGAGGGCGGGGGAAGATGAGCGGATGGAGCCCCAGCCCCTGGACCTTCCTCAGGTCCTCTGCCAAGGAGGGGAGGACAGGGTGCCCGACAGTATCTCACTGTCCGCTTCTCTGCCCATGCCTTTCTCCTGCCCTATCTAGGAGTCTGTCATGGGCATCCTGGCCCCACTTCACACACACCCCAGCCCTTGGGGTTCAGGATCCTGTCTCTCCCCACCCTTCTGGCAACGAGACCTCCACTCTCTTCCTGTACCCCTGCTAATAGGGCCCTGTCTGACCCTGCCAGGCTGCCAGGCTGGGGAGCCAGCACACTGGCCTCGAAGCAAGGAAGGCCCACTCCCTGCCCCTCGAATTGGGACAAAGAAATCTCGTCCTTGATCTCTCCATGCCCTTGGGCACCTCCGCCTGGGCAAGGGACCAAGGACAGAGGCCAAGCCAAGCAGTTTTTCCCTGGGACTGCCCCCAGGGTCCCTGGTCCCCTACAGTTACCCAAACCAGCCGCTTCTGCTGACAATCTCAGACAGCAGGAGGGATCTGACTTAGACAGAAGCGAGGACTTTCCTAAGGGAGGTATGTGGTGGGAGGCGTGTCCTCTTTGGCAATGGTAGTCTGTCTCTGCAGCAAGAGAAATGAGGGTTGGGTAGTAACATGGACATTGCTGGTGGTGATACTAGGAGTGAGTGTCATTTTTCAACAAATATTTATTGAGCGGCTATTGTGTGCCATGTGCTACGCCGGCGCTGGAGGTCCAGGATTCCCTGCTCAGGGAGCTTTACCTTGTAACTGAACAAGAGCTTCAGAGTGGAAGCCATACCTGAAAACAGAGAAGCGTGGGAGGTCATGGGAGCATAGGGCAGGGGAACTCACCTGATCTGGGCTGGAGGAGTAGGAGAGGAGGGAGTCAGGGAAGGCTGCCCTGAGAACCTGAAAGAGGAGCAAGAGCCCCCCAGTGTGGGGATGAGGAGGGCAGAGGGCGAGGAAAAGGATTCTAGTCAGAGGGAACAGCATGTGCAAAATCCTGGGGCAAGAAGAGAGAGCTTGGGCACTTGAGGAGCAGAAAAAAGCTTTGTGTAGCCCAAAGGTGGAGAATGAGGGTGGAGAAGGTTCATAGTGAGACTAAAGAGGAGGTCAGGGGTCAGTGGGCAGAGGCCTCGCCAGGCAGCCAGGAAATACGAACTCCTTCCTAAGGGATATGAGGAGACTCTGAAGGGTTTTAAGTAGTGAGGTGACATAACCAGGTTTGCCCTTTAAATAAAACCTCCAGGCTGCTGTGTGCGAATGGACTGGATGGGCCGGAGAGCTTCAGGGGGGTACCGCAGCGGTCCGCGCAGGGGCTGATGGCGGCAGAGGGGATGAGAGGAGAGATGCAAGGGAAGCAGAGTCTCGGGACTCGGTGAGCCATCGTGGGAGACGGAGGGGGATGCGGCAGCAGAGGCTCCCAGGTGTTTAGCCTGGGCAGCTGGGAGAAGGTGGTCCCATCCTCTGAGCTGGAGAATCCGGTAGGAAATGGTGACCTCCAAGAGGAGCTGCCCTGGGGGAGGGTGGCTACGTGGAGCTCAGGAAAGAGGACCAGGTTAGGACAAGAATTGGAGGGTCGTGGGTCTAGAGGTCACCCAGAGTGACCCCAGGACGCAGCTCCCAGGGGACTCCTGCAGAGAGGAGCCACAAGGAGTGGCCAGAGGGTAGGAGGCCCAGAGCACTGTGGCGCCTGGGAAGACCCTGTCGTTGTAGAAGCTCCAGGAAGGCAAAGCCTTTGTCCAGCACAGCGCCTGGGGGCCTGAGGGTGCTCAGTGAACACGTAGTGGATAAATGAACAAATGGATAAATGAACAAATGAGTGAAGGAACAACTATGATGAGCTCGGACAACAGGAAGCACTTTGGAGGGTGGAGTCCCCAGAGGAGGGAATGAGGAGGCAGAACCAGCCGCCTGCCTCCCCCCCTGGTCCCCCCCCTCGCCCCCCAGCACGAGGACAAGTGGGAGGTTATTCTGGGGCCTCCTCTGGGTAAATATAGCCTCTGAGCAGGGTGGGGGGCCGGAGGTGGCTTCCTCGGTTTGTTTGGGGCACTTCCTTATAAGGCCGCGCAGGCTGAGGCGCCTCGGAGGGTGAGGTCAGGGGCTGCGCTCTCCATTCAGCCAGCCTGATGCTGTCCCTGCTGCCACCGCCGGCTGCCAGAGTCGCCGAGGAAATCAAAGTCCTCAGCTTTGGGCTCCGGCCAAGAGAGCTCAGAGTGGCCTCTTAAAGGGCCCCCTCAGCCTCCTGTCTGATGTGGGAGCCAGTCCAGGGTGAGGGAGAGGGTGTCCTTCTGGGGTCCTCTCAGAAGGTGATGCTGGGGGCCTTGGTTTTCTGTCTGTACAGTCCTGGGTGGACCAGATCATTCCCCGAGGCTCCAGGCAGCTCTGGCACCCTGTGGTCTAACCTTTACCCCTCCCACTGCAGGGTGGGAGGCCTCTTGAAATCAAAGACTCAGAGTTCATTCATTGCTTCCAAAGGCCCTGGTCCCTCAGCTCCCCGCAGCTCCCCGCTTCTCAGCCCCTCCCTGGGGGACCAGCTGCTGCCACTTGACCCTGTGGTGTCGCAGCTGCTGTCAGCAATGCCATCCTTGTCAGGCAGAGAAGGAGGAATGTGATTTAATTTCAGCTGGAATGTGCCCTCCGGAGCTGCCCATGGAAAGGGGAGGGAATGGGGACCAAGCCTACCCCAGCCCAGGAAACCCGAGAGGACTCAGGCTTGGGCACAGGCCCCTGGGTCCCTCTGGGCCCCCATCCCCACCCCACGGAGGAGGCTAAGTTCCAGAACAGGTCTAGCAGCAGGATGGATGGAAGTTAGACTTGAGGGTCTTCCTGAGAAGGGGAAAAAGAGGAAGTTTCTTGTGAACGCAGTTCAAGTGGGTAAAGAAGGGACGTAGGTCGTCCCCCCCCCCCCCCCCCCCCCCCCCCCCCCCCCCCCCCGTTCCTGAGTCTGAAGGCCCACCTTCGAAAGACAAAGAGGAGCATCTCAAGTGACAGCACCAGGGAAGGGGCTGCTTGGCTCGGGGACAGGAGGAGGGACCGAATGGCCTCGGGTGAGGGCCTGCAGAGTCTGTGATCTGAAGCAGAGGAAAAGATGGTCGTTTCTGATTCTCCTCTCCCCGTCCTAAGATCCCAATCCACCCTTCTCCTCTCTCCCCTCTCTTTCTAACTCAGCACCCCCACCTGCAGATCAGGTTTCTCTCTTCTCCCACTTTCCAGGAGCAGTAGACTCTGCCTCTGCTCCCCTACCCCTTCCCCAAGCCCCATTATTCCAGGGGCTCCCATGTGGACGTCCCTCCTGTAACCTAACTCGTGTTCCTCATGCTGTAGCATCTGTCCATCTTGCCCCACAAGGATGGACCCTGGGCCCCAGAGTCCCAGGTCCTAGAGGCCTCTTTCCCCCTTCAGCCTTCTCCTTTTCCAGTCACAAACTACCTCCCCCCGCAACCCTGGCCCCATTCACTCCCCCCACCCCCATGACTCAGCTGTGGCTCCAGAAATAAACCAAGGCAGGTGCCAGGGGGCCACTGTCGAGGAACCATCTCCCAGCAGCTGTGGGCTCAGCAGCTGACAGGCTGGGGCCCCAGGGTCCCAAGAAGGGTGACTGGGAGACTTCAGGGGTGGGGAGATGCCCCCCTGGCTCTGGCCCCTCCTGGGTCCTCTGGGACTCCATCCTCCCTGCTGAGGACAGACACCCCTTGCTGTCACCCTCCCTCAGCACCCTCGGACCCCCTCCCTTCCCCGTCTCCCCCTCCTCACCTCTCCTCCATCTTCCTCCTCCTTTTCTCCCTCCTCCCTGGCCCCTTCCCAACTTCTGAATCCCTTGGGCTCTCCTGGATTCTTTCCTTTTCTATTCAACTCATTTGCCAGGAACTTATATGTCAGCAGGAACTTCAGCTCACCTTGAGGGGGAAACTGAGGCACAGAGACGTCCCTTGCCAATGATACTAGAGTTCCTAGGTGCTGCTTGGGGTCCATAGAACATGGGCCAGGGGGCTGGGGGCTGCTCCCCTTATGTTCCAGTCCAAAGCGGTCAACAGCCTTCCCTCTGTCAACAAGCTATCTAAAGACTAAGGAAGAACCGCGGGGAAATAAACACAGAGGCCGCAAGATCCACCCACTCAGACAATTAACTGGAGTCCAGAGTCTCTCGGTGGGGGGGAGTTTCCTCACATCCTTCTCCTTTCTCCCTCTTTTCTTTTCTCTCCCCTCCTTCCCAAATCCTTCCTCATGCTCTGCCCCTGAATCTTTCCATTCTCCCTTCCCAGGAGGGAGTAGACTGCTTGCAGCCGGCAGAGTGGAAGTTAGATCTCAGGAAGGACCTCCAGTCTGGGGAATGGAGGAAACTGATCAGCTGGGGGGGAGGGTACGTGGGTCCTCCCTCCAGGCAGGGCTCTGACTGCAGCCCCCAGAGAAAGCCCTCGCACCCATGGGTTTTGACAGGCAGAGCATTTTTGGAAGTCTTTGGGAGCTGCTGTGTCCCGGCAGGCAGCCAGAACAATGGGGCCCTTTCTCTCCCTGTGCAGGAGACAGGCCCACAGACAGGGCCTCCGGGCCGGGACAAAGGCCCCAGTGAGGTCAGGGCAGTGATCTGGGAGTTGGGGGTGGGGAGTTGGGGGGAGCAGTGGGGAGGCGGGGTGTGAGTCAGAGCAGCCTGGGAGGGAAGCTGGGGACCCTGGTAGACGGACGACCTCGGGAAGGCCCACTCCCTGGGCTAGCCAGGCAGCCCCTGACTCTCGCCCAGCCTGGACCTCCCTTCCCCACTTACACCCAAACACTCTCTGACCTCCCTCCTCCCCAGAGGACAGGGAACCCTGTGGGGCGACCCCCTTGTGGACACATGGGAAAGAGGCTGAGAGCTTAACCACATATCCAGAGGCTGGCCAGGGCTGGGCTCGTGGTCAGGTGTGTGCTGTGCCCGGAGGCAGAGGCAGACACAGGTGGACCCCTACTCTAGCTCACAAAGAGATGGGCTGACCCACCGTGAGGGGCCAGTTCCCCTCCCCAGGCCAAGACAGGCCCCATCCCCAACCACCACCACAACACACACTGGGCCAGGGGTTAGATTCTGTGCAGGGTGCTGAGTCATCTCTGGACCAGTTCCCCCTTCCCCAGGAAGCCCAACAAAGCCAGGAGAAGGCTTCCGTTTCCGGCGGCCCTGCCGAAGCAGCCCAGCAGGTGCTGGGGAGCAGGGAAAGGATTCTAGTTCCAGCCCTATATCAACCCCTGGAATTCTCCTCATCCACGGATCTGAGAAGATGGTGGACCCCTGCCTACTGCTGTGGGGAGATTTAGTGAGAAACACTGATGACAGGACCGGGAAACCAAGGCCCCTTCCAGCTCGCCACCAGAGTCTCTCTGGGAAATTCAACCTGCCATCCAAACTCCATCTCTGTGAGGGTATGTTTCTCAGAGAACCTTCCTTAAGAACCCGAGGACAGACACTGCCCCCTCCTCAGCCTTCTCCTCTTCAGGCCTTCCCTTGAAAGGCCTACCTTGGTCTTGCCCCACTTAGAATTCCAGCTAAATGTTCCGACATCCCTAAAAGTGCAACAAGTGGGCAATCGCAGGGTAATACAGGATAAAGCCGGGGTCTTCTCTGGCCCCAGGATCATCCTCTTCCTATAGCTCCTTAAGAAACAGTCCCGCTCCCGAGCCACGCTGTCTGGGTTATGTGGGGAGGACAGAGGTGGGACAGGTGAACCCTGAGGTGAGGAGAGAAATGGTGGTGGTAGGTGGTAAGTGGGTCTGGGAGGTCAGTGCTGGTATCTCAGAGACAAGTTGGTTTGGGGTTTACATACAGGGTGGAGAAGGGCCAGGAGCTGGGCAGGGGTGGCCTGAGAAAGCCCCTCTCCCTGTCTTCCCCCCTGTCTCTGGGTTTCTCCCTGTCACTCTCAGCCTTTTGCTCCTCTGGATCTGTCTCCCTGTCTCTCAGATTTACCAGGTTTTACCGGCTTCTAGGGGAAAAAAGTAAGAATCGCCCATGTGGCTGAAAGTGGTCTAACAGTGGGCACAGTCAGGAGTGTGTACATATGACAATGTGCACATGTGTGTGCATGTGTGTGACCCAGTGTGGTTAAGTGTGAGCATCTGCAGCAATAAGATTCACCCTCCATCATGAAGACAGATGACATCTCGACACACACTTTTCCCATAAGGCACAATAAGGCACAATCTGTGCACTGCGATGAGGTACACACACACACACACACACACCCCTCCCTCCCCAGTCATTCTCTCTCCAGTTTTCAGTGACCTCATCATCTCAACCTCCGCTGACTCACAGCCCCCTGGGCCAGCTCAGCCTGGCCGGAAATCTTACCCTCCCCTCGACAGCCAGCCACCCCGCCTTCCCCGCCCCGGGAACTCGGCAAGAAAGACCGCGGCGCCCCCTGGCGGTATCCTGGAACTCCTCCCGCTCCTTCCGCCGGTCCCCACTCACGCACGCGCACACGGCACTCTCAGGCCATCGTGCCTGTGTGAGCAGCGCCCTCTGCTGGCCACAGCCTATGAGACTCACAGGTCGCTCCCAGCCCACGGCAGGGCTGGGGACCTCTCCCCTGCCCTTCTCTTGTTTGCCCATTCCCGCACCTCTGCCTTCTGCTGGAAGTAAGCCCTCCTCCAGTCTAACTCGCAGACCTGCCTTCCCTTCACCCTCACCCTCACCCCTTAAGAGAAAACCCCCTTGGGAGCCTCACAACCAGGATACCAAGGCAGCCACCTCTCTGCCTTCCTCCCTGGGTCCTCCGCCTCCTCCCTCCCCAGACTGAACTGGTCTAAGTCTGCTTGACTGGGCGCTCCGAGCACTCCAGCTCCCCCTTCCAAACAGCCTGATGCTGTTCCCCAACCCCCATGGGCTCCTTCGTTGATGCTTATTGGGCAGCTGTTCTGTGCCAGGCACTGTTCTGTCCACTGACATCTTGGGGACTTCTCTGACCTTCAGAAGCTAATAAACACAGAAGGCCTATTTATCCTGTGAGGCCTGGCCCAACCCCACTTTTCACTCTCTTTCAAACACAGAAGCATCAGACTTGCTTGGGCTCAAATGCAGCTTTATTTCCTGCTGGCTTTACAGGTCCTCCATCCTGCGAACCCATTCCCTTGGAAAACTGAGGATGAGTGGGCACAGCGCCCCCCAGGGGAATGGAAAGGACAGGATGGCTGGCAAGGAGAGGGCAGTAGAGGCACTTAGGGACTTTCTTGAGGCCCTGAGGGAAAAACCTGATGCCCAGGGGAGGGGTGAGAGGGCCTAGGCGGGGCTGGAGCTGCCCAGTCATTTCCCAAAAGCCCCTCCAGGCACTACCACCTGGACTTCTGCTCCACCCCTCTCATGGTGTCACTTCCTGTGGTGGGAAGAGCACAGGTTTGAGGGAGGGTTGTGGGGAGAGGGCAGTGCTGGGGGCAGCAGTGGTCAAGGCCTTGCCCCTTAGGGACCTGGAGCAGGACTGGAAGGGGGAGTCAACAGCGCCTTCCAGTGCCCCAGTAGCCTCCCCTGATGTCCTTCTGGGGCCTTCACTGGGCGCAGAGCTCGAGCCTGGGGAAGACACACACACTCACTCTCCAGCCTTGGCTCCTGCTCCTTGTCTCTCTTCTCAGAGGCTGCCCTCTGGTGTTCTTGCTCCTTGACCCCTGACCTCATCAAAACACTTGCCCTGGCTCAGCCCTTAAGAGCCCAGTTCTCAGATATCAGCACTGAAGGGGACATCAGAGCATCCAGTCCACCTCCTTCTCTTTGCCCCAGAAAGGGGCAGTGATTACTCCAAGGTCACACAGCCAGTGACTGGCAGAGTTAGGATTGGAGTCCAGGGCTACATTGGCTAGTCCCACCCCCCCCACCCCTGCCTCCTCCTGGTACTCACAGGCCTGCGGGGCACACAGGAGATCTGGGGGGGCTCCCAGAGACCATTTTCCTGGCAGCGGATCAGTGGCAGGTTTCGCTGGGCCAGCCCCTCCCGGCACCGGTAACGGAGCACCGTGTCCACCTCATAGCGCAGCCGTGGGCGGCCAAACACTTGAGCCAGGGGCAGTTCCGGTGGAGGCCCACAGGACACTGCAGGGGGGACACAGTCAGGAACTGGGAGCCTGGCTCTGTGGGTGACAGTTCCCAGAATCCGGATGAGGCGAGGAGTGGGCCACAACTTGACACAAAAACGTGCTCCGAGTGGACCCACCTAATTTGTTATCCCTCCCATGCCCAAGGCCTAGGATGCATTTCTGACTCCTCTGTGCAGCTTTGCATCCTCCTTCTATACACGTGCCCTTTCCTGGGTCCCCCATGTCCCTGCCTCCTCCCCCTTGCCCGCCCTCACCCAGCCCCATCTTGCAGGTGTAGGACAGGTGGTAGTTGCAGGGCACATCACTCCATTGTCCCTGATCATGCCACACCATGACCACGCAGTTCTCTCCGGACAGGAAGTAGCTGTCAGGCTGCCCAGGGTTCCAGTTCTCATATAGCTGGGGGGCGGGGGCAGAGGAGGTGGTCAGGAGCTCCAGCACCAGGAGAACTGGGAGGAACCCACCTAGAGGACCTGAGGAGGAGGAGGGGTACCAGGAGAAAGAAGGCTAGGGGAGTGGGGAGTGGGGCCCCCCTTCTGGGAAAGGGAAAGGAGAGGTCAGGGGCTTTGGGGGAGAGATAATGGGAACCAGGGAGAAGAGGGAAAGGCGTGGGAAAGGGAAGGGGCCAGAAACAGGAAGAGAGGAAGGGATGGGGTCCCTGGAGGGGGAGGCAGCAGTGCTTCCAAGAAGCGACCTCAACAGCGTGAGGGGCAGCTGGGGCTTCTCACCAGGGGGACGCCGTCTGACCACAGGAAATCGCCTTCGATGGTCCTGTCGTTGAGTCCGATCCACTGGTACTCCCGGTATCGATCTGGGGAAGAACGGCAAGGGAGACGGAGGTTGCAATGAGCTCCACTGCCAGCAGATGGCGGCCATTCCCTGTCTGGGGGTGACGGCCGGGGAAGTCCTGCCGCAAGCCAAACCTGCGCTTCCCGGTATTCTTATCCCTCCCTCCAACCCTTGCACACGAGCCGGGTGGAAGGCATGGGCGTGGGGGGTGAGGGAAGAAGAAAAATATCACCAGGGCTAGAAAAGGGAGACTCTGGAAAAAGAGTAAAAACTTTGAACGAGGCCAGAGTCAGGGAAAGCAGATGGAGGTCGGAGGCGGCGAGGAACTGAAGTGGGACCCCTGAGCAACCGCGGCCTGATGCAGGTGCATTTCCTGAGCGAACCTCAGCCCTCCGCTGCCAGAAGCCCCGCTACGCACGTGTGGAGCGGGAAGGAGGGAGAGAGAAAGGAAAAGTGAATGAATGAGGTAAACCAAGTAAGGACTACCTGAATTAATAAGGGAGTTAATTAACACACTCATTCGTTAATTGATTGAGTAATTGATTGAGTGAGTGCGTGAGAGAGAGCAGATGACAGGAGTCCCCTCCCTCCCGGTCCCCAGCCCACTGTTGATGAAGTCCTGTTCCTCGGGCGTGCTGATGCTGGTGAGGTGCGCGCCGTACATCCGGCACTGGGTCTCTGCCTCCTCCCAGCTCCTTCGTGTAGAAAAATGCTTGTAGCAGGCGCCCTGGAAGGCGTCCCAGCCGGGGCTGCAGAAGCGGAGGCCTGGGGCAAGGAAGGGCGGGCAACTTAGGCGGGAGGCCGGGAACCCAGAGGCCCGGTTCCCTGGTAGGGACTGGGCTCCTCCCACCATCGAAGCCCCAGGGGCCGGGCTAAGGGCAGGAGGACGGTCCCAAAGAGCTACTAAGCAATGAGGGGCCAGGAGGAGCCTGGAGGAGCCCTGGAGGAGCCCTGGTGCAGGGCCTGATGCCTTCCTTCCCTGAGCGACAGGGACCTAGGTGAGGGCTGGCAGGCCTGCCTGGGTCTCTGCATTCCTCTATCCTAAAGAAGAGCTGTACCCTCCTCTCTTCCCAAGAGAATGGAAACTGGCATGAACTGCCTGCCTGTCAGATGCTAGGAGAATGCTAAGCACTCCTTTCATACGGACCGCCTGAGAGAGGCATTTTCAGTTCCACTTAAGAGATGAGGAAATTGAGGCTAGGGCTCAGAGAGGTTATATGATTTGCCTAAAAAGGGGATTCACTAATGACAAGGCCAAAACCAGCGCCCCTCCTCCCCCCTCCGGAATTAGTATGTTGTGGTTGGGTCCAGGCTTCAGATCCCCCCCCTCCCCCGCCGCCTCGCAGCACACTCACCAACATCGCACAGGTCCCCCCCATAGCCAGGCAAACATAGGCAGCGGACCCCTTCCTCCTCCTCCACGCATGTCCCCCCATTGTGGCATGGGCTGGGGACACAGTCACCTGAGATGGGGAGAGAAGTGAGGTGGGGGGTGGCAGGGGAGCCTGAGTCCTCCAGGAGAAGAGAGGGTTCAGAGAGTCCCTGGCCCTGACCCCCTTGTCCTGGGAGCCGTCATAGCACCCTAAAAGTTCACCCTGGGGCCTGCCTCTGGTCAGAGCCCAGCCCTGAGCTCTGAGTTTCTGCTCCCTCCCCATCCCCCCCAGCATTGGCTCAGCCCATGCTGGCCATCTTCATGCCCACCATCGTGGGCCTAGTCTAACGGGCTGGGGGGAAGTGGCCAGGAAGGCCCTCAGGACACAACCCTACCAAGGGGAAAGAAACTGCCTTGTCAGTCATGAGACCTGGATTTTCATCTGGCTCCTGGCTCTGCTGGGTGATGTCAGGCAGGTCACTTTACCTCTCTAGGAGTGTAGTCCCCCACCCCCTTGTCTTTGTGCCAGGTCCCAGCAGTTCCATACAGTCTGGGTGTGCTGCGTGTAAGTGGAGGAGGGGAGAGTCAGCACAGCACAGTGAGGTGTGGCCTGCCCTTTACTGCTCCGGGACCGATGTTGGGGGGCTTTTAGTGGGGGCTGACCATTCCTCCTGCTGTCCACTGGGCAGAGTCAGCCCCAGAGGCTGTTAGTGTAGACCAACGCACTTCCCTCCCTTTATGCCCTACCCTCTCCCCTGGCTCAGGAATAAAGCTGCAGTGGCTCCCACTGTCCTGCAGTGCTGGCCCCACACACTCTCTCAATATCATCCAATCTCCTTTCTCCCCTTCTTATCTCCCTAGACTCTTCCCCTTTACCAGGCTCCCCTTTCCCCCTCTGCTTCAGGCCTTCTGCAGGTTGGCCAGCCTAGAAACCCCTCTGATCCATCTCACTCCCTCTTTCTGGCTCCTCCTCCTCCAGGCAGTCTTCTTAGACTAACATGCTACCCTGAAGGCCTGCAATCTGCTGTCTGGATCCAGGTCTGGCCAGGCCAGCTGCCTTCTCTGGACTCTCTCTAGATCCCGAGGTGGGAGATGGCTGCTTTGGCTGGGCCTGGGTGCTGGAGGGTCTGTCAGATTCTACTCCTTTCCAGTCCAGATGACCCAGAGAAAGATGGTCCCAGAGACTGATGGCACAGGTCAGGGCACTCAGCCCGGGGCAGTAAACCAGCCCTGGGCAGGACCCTTCTGACCGCACCATCCACCCCTAGCAGCCAAGGCCAAGGCCCGCAGTGCTTCCCTCTGGCCAGAGATCCTACTGCGTGGTGGGGAGCAGAGCAGAGGTGGGGGGAGGAGAAGCTGGAGTTGATTCAAAGAATTTTGCTGGGATGACCTAGCTGTTTTGGGTAAAATGAATCAGCTGTTTCAGCACCACATCCCCTGTCATCTCCCCTCCTGCCAGTAGTTTCTTTGGGGCTGGTAGTGCTACCCCCCAAGGCAAAGTGGGGAGGAGAGTATTTTATTTAACCCTTTAAGCACCAGGCCCCACAGAGGGTAGGAGTCCTGAAGCCCCCTCCCATTCTTCATGCTTTCCTGCTCCTCCTGAAGTCCTCTCTGTTCCTCTCTCCAACCCTCCAACGCTGGGCGACAAAGACTCTCAAACTTGGTCGCTGGTTCCCCACCCAGGCCATAGGCGCCTCCCCCTGGCTGTGGGTGGCAGAACCTGAACCAGGACAGGCAGAGTAGGGGAAGGAACGCCTCTTGTGACTTTCTGGTCTTCCTCCCCGTCTTTGGGGCAACTACCATATACAACCAGAGAGTTTTTCTTCCCCTCCTACTGCAGTAGCAGGCCAGAGGACCTCCCCTCATCCTCCAGGTGGGTAACTAAGATGCTGCAGATACTTCCAATGATGCTCCACGCCCCACGCAGTGCTGAACTCCAAAGCCAGCTGGGCAGGGAGCCAAGAGTTGAAATGAGTGAGCCTGATCGTGATGCGGGGGCCCCTAGCCCACCCTGGACCATCTAGAGGAGGGGGTCCTGGGCCTGGGAGGATCCCAGCCTTCTCTAGAGGCCTCCACTGGGGAAGCTCAACTTTCCAGGAGTAGGCAGGGCTTCTCTCAGACCCCACAACCTAACTCCCCACTCCCCTCCCTCCACTTTCCCTCTCCATCCTTGCCTCCTGATTTGTGTCTTCTCCAGCACTAGGGACTTGGAGATTCTTTGAGAGCCTTTGGGTTCAGGGAGGATGAAACCATTCTTCTTAGAGGGTGGGGGTGGTCAGTAGTGCAGGGGTTAGTGGAGGAGGGGGAGGCTGCAGGCAGTGGGATAAAAGTTAGAGAGATCCCCCTGCTGAGATGCAGGGGCAGGGCAGAGCCTGAGGTACCTAGATGCCAGGGAATGGCCTTTATGTGAAGAGGGACTTTCTTGGTCGCTGTTCTGTATGTGTGGCTCTATGTGGGAGCCATCAAGACGGATCAGGAATGAATACAAACGCACACACAAGCATGCCCAGGCTGCGCAGGTTTCTCCCCATCAGGAGTGAGGGAATACAACTCCCAGCCCTCCAGCAGACTGACAGACAATGACTTCCCTGGGGTAACGTGTACAGTCAGACTTGGGATCTCAGCAGTCAGGAAGGAGAGTGGAGACAGGCTTGAGGAGGAGAGGATGAGGGAACAGCAAGGGGCTGTTAGACAGCTAGGACAGGAAAGGGTGCCAGCTGGAGATGACAGAGGAAGAGGCAAAGAGAGAGAGAGAGAGAGGGAGAGACAGTGCCAAAGAGAAGCATCAAAGAGCTACCCATGACACAAATCCATGGAATGAAAGGGCAGACAGCTGGGATGGAGACAGAGGGTGCCAGAGTTTTGGTTATAAAGCAGTTTAATAGAGATTTATTTCCAAGGTTTGTTTTCCATGAAACAGTCAAAAAAAATACTTCACAGAAGTAGTTGCTTAAGGCTCTGTGGGGATAAGGACTCTCCTGGACCCCAGAGGTCGAGGGGCAGGGATGGAATTCCAGGCTCCCCTGATGTCAGCAGGAGGCCTCTGAAGGGGATGGATGGCACACAGGAGGGGGGAAGGGAGCAGTGGAAGAGGGGCCTGGGCCCTGAAGAGTGCCATAGGCGACAAGGGCACCCTATTGCCCAGGTATGAGGGTGCTCTGTGAGGCCAGTGAGATGAGTCACAGGTGGAGAGCCCTCCCCTCCAGCTCCCACCTCCTAGCCCGAGGGTAGGAAAGAGTCCCAGGTGGTCAGTGGTGGGGCTGGGGTCACAGGGGGGAGGGTTTCAGAAACAGGGAGAGGGTCACAGGCTGGGAGTCATGGAATTGGGGGTCACAGGGTGAGGAATCAGAGAGCTGGGATGGAAGTCACAAGGTAGGGTATCCAAGATTGGAGACCCACAGGTAGCGGTGGGCAGGAGAATGAAGGCAAACGACAGGAGAGGCTGGGGCAATGGTGGGTTAAAGGGCTACAGGTCAGGTGGTCCAGAGCTGCAGGGGGAGCAAAAGGAGGAGGAGAAAGAGGGAAGTTGAGCCTTGTGCGAAGTTACCTGATGAGGGGGCCACGGCCACTCCACCGCGGCTGGCGCTGTCAGTGGGCAGCACTGGCTGGGCCTGCACTGAGGTCCCCGCTGGGACAGTTCTTCCAGAATTCTCTTCGGAGGGGGCCTCCAGCTCCCTGGTACCCTCAGGGGCTTGTGTGGCTGGAAGCAGGGCAGGGGCATCCTCGGAGCTCCCTGTCTCCTCACTCTCTCCTCGAGGGACCCCAGACAGCTCGAGACCCCCAGTCTCCTCCCCCACCTCTCTCGCCCCATCTGGAGTGGAAGGCGGTGCAGATGCCAGGTTCCCCTCCCTGGGAGTGAGCAGAGTCTCAGCGGGTGGTCCAAGGACACCTGGAGGCCTGGAAGCCTCTGGCTCTCCATCAGGAGGTGGTGATGCACCAGGCTGTAGGACCGCCCTCGCTGGCGGGGATGCCTGGGAGACGGACTCCTCTAGGGCCAGCTCAGTGGTGAGAGAGGCCTCTGGTTCTGGGCTACTGAGCTCGTTGGGCCAGGCCCACAGGGCGTCATCCTCCACCTCCTCCTCTTCTTCCTCCTGGTCTTTGTCTTCTTCATCCTTGTATTTCTCTTCTTCCTCCAACGCCTCACTTTCCTCTTCTGAGGACCCCAGCGGAGGTACCATGGATTGGGTTTCAAATTCTAGGCAAAGCACAGATGGTTCAGCACCAGGGACAGCACTCACCAGAGGATAGGCAGAAGGAAGGGGAAGGGGAGGAAGACAGGGCTGGGGACAGTGAGGCCCTCCCCAGGGGGAGGCAAGAGCCTGCCCTGGGGAGAGGTTGTCTTTGCTCCACATCAAAAGAACTTCAACTTGAGCTACAATGTTGATGCAACATTTGGGAAGGCTCAGTGAGCTCTCACTAGCCCAGGAATACACGGTCTTGCATCTCTCTCTCCTAGTCTGTTAAAATGCTCTAGTCTATTTTAGGTAGGTGAGGGGGAAGAGGGACCAAAGAAAGGAAGACCCTCCTTCCCTGGGGCAGCTCCTTAGTCCAAGCATCTCCAGATCCAGAGAGTTGGGAGTGGAATTTGCTGGAAAGGCAAAGGGTGGGAAAGGGGCAGGAGAGATGCCCTGTACCACCGAGCTGCTGAGAAAGGATAGGGCAGAGTCATGCTGGCCATAACCCCAGCATCAACCTGGGCTTACACCTTCTGCCCCCAGTTTCTCTCAGGTTGAGACATCCCCAGGATAATGGATTCGAGTTACCTAGGAGGGTCCTAGGAGCCTCTGCTGGGTCTTCTGGAGTGGAGCTTCCACCTCCTCCATCCTCCACGATGGGAATGGAGTAGATGGCTCCACGGGACTCGCTCTCCACAGCTTCCTGAGGCAGCTGCAGTTCCTCCAGAGTCTCTGTCACTGTCACAATGGCCTCCAGCCGATCAGAGGCTGGGTCAGAGACTGGGTTGTAGTCCTCAGGGATGGCAGAGGGCTGGGCAGAGTCTGTGGGGGAAGGAAAGTGCCAGGGGGAGGTTAAATCGGTGGCCCTGCCCTCCCAGGTCACAGCCTGCATGTGAAGGCTCTGGGTTAGGCTCAGAGATCAAAGAATCCTCTCCATTCTCTCACGCCTTCCCTGTGGAGCACCCAACGGGCCCAGGAAGCACCCCAGGACATCGTCACTCATTCCTCAAGCATTAATCAAGTGCCTACTATGTGCCATGCCAAGCATTCTCCTGGACACTGAGGATATAGTGGAGAGCAAAACAGCAAGCTTCCTGCCCTCAAGGGAATTTATATTTTAGATAAAGGTAATAAACAAACATATTATCTTGTTACCATAGAAAGAAAAATTAAGCAGAGTAAGGAGAGAGGATGGGAAGTACTACTTTAGATAGAGTGGTCAGGAAAGGCTCAGGGCAGAGATATTCTTTGAGTAAGGGAATAAAGACAGAAGGATGCACAGAATGGCCTCAGCACTTTGAGACCCTAAGCTTGGGGCAAGGGATGAGGGGTCCCAGTCATCCTAAAACTTTAGAAACGGAAGGGGACAGGCTGCCATCACCAGAGGAGAGCTGAAGGGCAGAGCACAGGAAGAGCTTTCAACAGCTCCCACCTGAGGATCTAAGGAAGGGGCCACCCATCCTTCCGGGTTCTGCTTCCTTCAAATAACCAGTTTTAGAATGGATTACCTTGTCTCTCGGGAAGTGAACCAAGAGCAGAAAACCAATGAAGTGAAGGCGAAATTGGGCTAAGAAAAGCCTTGAGGGCCGTCTGTGCTCAGCCAGCCGAGCCAGGACAGCACGTCCTGCCCTCATCACCTGCTCCAAGAGCCTTGTCATCCCAGAAAAGCAAGCCTGCGCCCTTGCTGCCTCTGTCTCCACCTGCACACTCCACAGTCATCCTCTCCTCTCCCACTCCTCTTTGTTCAGTTCCTCCTTCCATTTCTTCCCAGAACAGTGCTTGGCACATAATTATAATCAGTGCATAGAAGTGTTAGCTATTACAATCATCATCATCATCATTATCTCTGTTCCAGTTAGCCTTTCCAGATGGACCTGTTTTCCTACAGACTTCACTTCCCCACCCCTCCCAGTCCTAGGCCACAGATATCTGGAAATCTCAGTGGAAGTAATGCTTTTCTCTCGGTCTTTCCTCATGCTGGGAGTGAGGCGTCTTGTCCTCCCTCAGATGAGGGCTCCCATGGCAGAAGCTGTGTCTTCTGCCTTCAAGTAGGGGCTCCCTGAGGGCAGAAGCTGTCTTCTCCTCCCATTTCTGCCTCCAGCCCTTGTTCCAGTAATGCAGGCTCACAACTGGGGCAAGGACCCAGACACTCCAAGGCAATGCCTCCCTGAGTGTCAGTCACCCTTGACCTGGGCCCTGTGCCTCTGGGGGTCCCAGGCACTTCCTCCCCTCCAGCTCCCAATATAAGATATGGGCAGGAAGCCATTTCTACACCCAACTGTCCTTGCAGACCTGATCCCTGTGGAGCAAATTGTGTCTGTCCTTCAACTTTTGGTGGTTAAAGATCTGACACCTTCAAGCTGAAGGTTCTGGAAACCCCTCTGAGGGTTCTTTAGGGCATTTGGTTAACTGGAGCAAATCATTCACTGGATTCAGAAAATGCCAGTCACCTCTGCTCTGCTAATGAGCTAACCAGAAATAGAAACATATTTGGCGGCCCAATATGGGAGAGGCAGCTTTGAAACTGGAAGAGACAAGTCGTGGACTACTGATGTGGAGTAGTGGAGGCAGGCGAGGAAATGCAGAGAAGTGAGCACTCCTTGAGGCCACATAGCCCAAGCCCGAGGGCATGACCGGAATTAGAACCCTCGGTGACAAGCTGAGCATCACCCAAGACTCCTTCAGGCAAATGGCAAAGACTTGAGAGAAATTGGTCAGACCTGGGGTGGGACTTCAGGGCTGGGCTCTCCCTCTCTGAGGGGTCTCAGCCTCTGCGGGCAGGTGGGCTCACCTCGGAAGCAGTAGACATTGAAGCGGCTGTGCTTGTTGGGAAAGCCCGTCTGGTTGGGGAAGAGGAAGAGAGTCTTGACACCAGGGAGGCCCCCACCACAGCGCTGGCTGGGTGTGACGATGGGGTAGCGCACACTGCCATCGGCTAGCCAGCCTGGGCTGCAGCGGTCCAGGCCACCATCCCAGGCTGCATACAGCTGGCCCGTCGTGGCAATCTCTGCACCCCGCTCCCGGCAGTATGCCCGTGCCTCCTCCAACGTCAGCTTGTCTGGAGGAGCACCCAGGAACAGCTCTCCTGGTGGGGAAGAGGAGGCCGGGTTACCAAGAAGTTGGTAGCCCCTTCCAGCCTGGGTTCTCATAGGGACCCTGGGCAAGCTTCTCTAGCCTCAGTCTCCTCATCCATGACATGGAGTCAACTACCCTATTTCAGAGGATCAAAGTGTTGATAGAACCTCGGGATGGAGACAATTGCTCAGAGGAACCTGGCCCGACTTCCTCATTCTGCAAAGAAGGAAACTGAGGCCCAGAGATGCTAAGAAGTAGAGAGATGCACAGCACGCAGCAGCAGAGTCAAAACACAAACTCATTCTACCAACTGTCTGAGGCTTTGGCCACGAACTTGGCTCTGTGACAGGGTTTGGAGGGAGGGACGCTGATTGTTTCTTTATCCCTGGCTGACCACTTAAACACATGAGGCATGATAAGGTCCAGCAGAGGCCCCAGGAGGACTGGTGGGCAGCAGTGGAGAGGGGTTCTCCCCCTGGGAACCTCTCACCCCCAATCACCATTGAGGTCTTCAGCATAACAGTAGACATCATAGAGGTCATCCGGGTCCACCACTCCGTAGTTCCGGACACCAGGGAAGCCATCCATGTCTCCGTAACAGGCTTCTCGTGGCGTCTGGATGGGGTACCTGGGGAGGGAGGACAGATGCCTTCACCAGGGAGCCTTGTCATGGTGACCCTCCTGAACCACATGGCCTTTCGATGCAGCCAACTCTCCTCCCAGCTCTGCAGGGACACCCCTCCCCCCAGAGCAGGGCCCTCACCCCCCTCTGGCAGACCAACCTCATTTCTAGAGGCAGGGAGCCCTGTGTGGCCAGCCTGAGGCAGCAGGCAGCCCCTGGCAGAACCCGAGGCCACAGCCACCTCAGAGACAACTAGAAGCCCCTGGTCCACAGTCCCAGCCCACCTCACGGTCTGGTCAGACAACCAGCCAGCATCACATTGCTCATAGCCCCCGAGGTAGGCGGCGTAGAGCTGCTCGGGGGTGGCGATACGGGCTCCGATGCGGGCACAGGCCTCCTGTGCCCCAGCGAAGGAGAAGGCATAGCGGGCAGAGCCCTCGCGGTAGAGAAAGACGACCCCTGAGGGGCAGAGAGGATCCTGAGGCCTGATCGCCCAGCACACTGCCCTCCCCTCCCCCTCCTCGTCACTCCCTGGTACACAAAGGGTAAAGTCCAAATTGCGCTCACTCTACAGCATGAGGGGCTTAAGTTAGACTGTGGGTAGAATTTCCTCCACCTGAAGAGAGAAAGGAGGTAACAAAGGCCTGTATCTATTCACTCCTTTTGCAATTCAGTCTGTGCCTTCCAGGAGTGTCTGCTTCCCCCTCAGGCTGTGGGCTCCCTGAGGACAGGAGTCCTCCCCTCCCTCTCTCTGAGACTCTCTCTCCATCCCTGCCCTCTCACCTTTGACCTTGACCTCCACGGCGTCGCTGCTGTCATCTATGCCGTGCTGGACCTCGCAGCGGTAGATGCCCGAATCGTTGGGCCGCAGCTCGCTCAGTGCCAGGGAGACATCCGTGAGCGACGCCGGGTAGGCAGGCAGCGCCACGCGGAACCGGTAGGCCTCGCTCACCTTGACGCGCAGCCCCCGGGCCACCAGCACCTCGGCCTCCCGGCCCCCGGACAGGAAGGTCCACTTGACCCGCGGAGAGCCCAGCACGGCGCGGCGGCTCGGCGGCGGCCGCAGGTAGTGCACGTGGCACGGGATGGTGAGCGCGCCGCCCAGCACGCCCTGCAGTGGCGCGTCGCCCGCGATGCGCACGCGGAAGGCCCGGTCCTCTGTGGGCGGGCGGGGCGCGCTGGAACCTGGCGCAGCGGACCCGCCGAGACCCACCCCGGGCTTCCAAACCCCGCCCCAGGATCCCTCGGCCACGCCCTTGGATTTTCCTAACCCCGCCCCCAGGAAGTTGGGCGCCTAGCCAACCTACCAGGGTCCTGCAAGCCCACACCCGGGTCCCCCAGGCGCACCTCCTAAGGTCTCCAGACCCATCCCCGAAGTCTCCCAGTCAATTCCGCCCCCAGAATCTCCCAGTACCACCCAAGGATTCCTGGGCCTCATTCCAGGGTCTTCAACTCCGCCCCCTGGGTCCTCCAGCCCTCAGGACTTCTCCCAGCTCCACCCCTGTTCTGCCTTCCAGCCCCATTCATCCTGTCCCCAGGCTGCCCTCCCCCTCATCGTTCACCTAGAGAATGGCAGCCCAGCACCCAGTGCCCCTCCCCATCCCTACCCCCAAGTTTCTGCGACCCTACTAGAGACCCACAACTCATCCCTTACTTCCGAGTGTCCCAGCCCAGACTCTTGCCCACAGTCCTCCCGATTCTGTCTCCTCCCTGGGTCCCCCAAGGCTGGATGGGGTTGGTTAGGGCCAAACAAGAGGCCAGCCCCTACCATAGAGGAGATGCAGGAGACAGACACAGCGACCTGGAGTTGGGTTGCTTACCTGAGCTGTCCGTTTCCAGGGCATCAGCGAAGGCTGCAGGGACCCGGGCCAGCGCTAGGGCTGCCAGCAGGCATAGGAATAGTGGGGCCATGCTGCAGGTTGATGGAAGGACTTGAGGAGGAAAGATGGGGTTAGACCTTAGGATGGACTTCCCCTGACTCCCTGCATCCATGTGGGCTCACACATATCCTGACCCCAGAAGCCCACTGCCTGGACCTCATCATTAACTCCCTGTTTCTGATCCTTGTCTCCCTGCCAAGGGATTCTTCTTCAGAGCTAAGACTTGGATCCTAGTCAACTTGCTGTGTGACTTAAGGCAAGTTACTTACCCTCTCTGAGCCTTTGTTCTATTACTTGTAAAAGAGCCCCATTACTGCCATCTCACAGGTTGTGATGAGGCTATGGGCTTTCAGAGTGCTTTATATCCTAAAAACCCTGTAAAAAATGCACAGCACCAGGCATACAGTAGGAACTCAATAAATGCTTATAGCATGAACAATGGGTGCTATTATACTCAGTGCCAGACTCCTTCCTTGAACCCAGAGATGACTCCTCCCACATACCCCTCAAACCTTCCCTTCCTGTCTTTCCCTCCCTGAGTACCATATCCACCTGGCCTCCTGGAGGCCACCTGGCCCCTAGGAGGGCCTCCTAGACTGAACCTGGGCAATGCACAACTTCGCTCCAGCCCAGCCCCTCCTCGACCCCTCCTCCCCAACATTACTTATAAGGAGACTTTTCTCTTTACTTCCCAGCATCCTTCCCCCCGCTCCCCAACTTGGCTGCCTCCTCCCTTCTTCTTCCCAGCCTTTCCTTTCTGCCTGGCACAAGCTTTCCCACCGGATCTCCTGGCTCAGAAACCAGCTGTGACAAAGCCCCTGTCTCTGCCAGTCTGGCCTCCATCCAGCCTAGGCTGAGGAGTGGGTTAAGGATGGGGGGTGAGAATACATAGGAGGGGCCATCTCCCTCCTACCCTTGGCTATCAGAAGCCCTGAGAACCCAGAATATTCCCCTTGAAGATCTCAAAACACACTGTCATAATGGAGGGGTGGGGGTGTCACACTGAGAAATGGGGGCCCAGAGAGGGATAGGGCTGACCCTGGGTCCCCAGCAAAGCCAAGTCAGGCACCAGGCCAAAGTCTCCAGGAGTGGAGGCTATAGAGCTGTGTTCAATGTCATGTTTAAGGGTCGGGCTAGACTTAGAAGAGTGTGGAGACCCAGGTCTCCCACGGGCTAGGCCAGCGCAGCAGGAGAGATGAAGGTTAGGCTGCAGGTGAGACTTCCTAGAGACAGGCCTATTCTCTCTGGCTACTCACTCCCACTTCAGGCCCATTGTTCAGCCTCCACCTTTCCTTCCCTCTCAGGCTCTGCCCTCATGTCCCCCCTTTCCTGAGCCTGAGTGATGGAAGATTTCTCTCTTCTCCCCGATCCTCCTCGGAAAGCCTCCTCACCGCGGTAACCTCCATTACCCCACTGGTGGCGTCATTTCCTCAGGGGCACAGTTGGGGGAGAGGGGCAGGAGCCAGATGCCCAGGGCCTCTCCCTGCCCTTTAAGAGGGAGGAGATTCTCGATGCGGCCAGATCTGAGGGTGCTGAGACCAGCTCCAGGCAAGGGGCCCTGGAGGCCTGTTTTCTGGGGTGGGAGCAGCCCATGCGCAGTGCTGGGGAGACTGTTGGCCATGCATTTGAGCTGTGCCAGGTCCTGGGCCAGGCCCCTTCCTGGCACCCTCCCTCCCTTCTCTCTGGGCTGGGGCTGGAGCTGCTCACAGACCTGGCTCCCAGCTCTCCGACAGGCGCCCAGAAACCCATATAGTTGGAGCCACTCTGGGACCAACATCTTGGACCCCCTTTCACCTCTGTTTTGAATGTGGGGGAATGAGAGCAGAAGGTCTGAGGCTGATGAGACCTGACTGCGCTGGCACATGGAGGGTATCCCACCTCCAGCTCCAGGAATGGGAGCCACTGACCAGAGAGGCCAAGACATGGCCCTGATTGTATGGTTCTCACAATCAGAGAGCTCTGTCCTGCACCCCCCTCTCCAGCCCCCTGGCCAATCACACCAAGCTTGGGCCTCAGTCCCTTCCTGGTATAGCTGGGGGTCCTGAGAAAACTTGGGCGTCCCCTCATCCAGCACCAGACTCAGAAGGGATCCAGGCCTTGGCCTTTTCCATCCCACACACACCTGCCTCCACTCCATCTTCTCGTCCTCCAGAGCAGGACATGCCACTCCATCTCTGACCTCGAGAGCTCAGCAGTCATCCTGTCCCTTCCCCTGATGCCTCTCCCTCCCTCTCTCCAGCTCTCTCTTTCCTGCTCCAGCTCCTGAATTTCTGCCCTTGTCTTGAGTTTCCTGAGCTGTTCAGGAAGCTTCCCTTTTGTTAGGTTATCTTTCCTGTCTGAGTATGGACGTTCGTCTCCCTCACAGGCTTCAGAGACCCAATCCACAGCGAATCAAGACCAGGCTGCGTGTGCATGTGTGCGTGCATGAGTGCACATGTGTACATACACCCAACACCCACTATCTCCATGCTGAATGCCCACCAGCTGGCAGTCCAAGGTCTGCCCCTTGGGAACCAAGCTCCAGCACTCAGCAGGGTCAGCAGGGATGCGCAGGAGGCCAGAATTTCAGTCACAGCAGGAGGGAAGCTCTCGCTATCCTCTTAGTGGCTGTGGGAGGAGCAACATCAACCTACACAGTATCAGCGAGGCCTCAGCAGGGCCTGCAGAAGTAATTGCAGTAATCATACAAATAGTCCTATTTATCAGAAGCACAACTAATAACACTATTAGCAACATCACCAACTGAGCTATTATAGCACCTAGTATAAAATCTGAACTGTGGATGCTGCTGCTATCAATGGCCAAGTTAGCCATCACACACAGGCACAGGTAACACCGTGGGTGGGTCTACCCATAACAGCGTCCCTTGCTCTTACTGGTATTATCTGGAATGGAAGTAATGCAGATAATAACAGTGCTAACAAAATTGATGGCAACTCTCGTGGTCCTGGTAGAACCATGTGGGCAGAGCTATTCTGGAGGAGGTACTAGGGAGCAGGGGGTTCTGTGCCCACTAGAGTGCCAGGAAGGACAGTAGGACTGGTACCCAGAATGCCAGCTAACAGTTACTGTCTGACCCAGGCCTCTCACTAAACGCTTCCCATGTACAACCTCAACTTTGAGAAAAATACTGTTTATGTGTTCGTCATTACACCGATGAGGAGCCCGAGGTTCAGGGAGGTCAACTAACTTGACCAAGGTCACACAGCAAGTAGCAGAGTTGGGATTCCAGCTCCCCTCGGGACCACCCGCTACAGCGGCTCCTGTCGGCTGTCCTGCGGGCCACGGGGAGGCGCACCCCCCCACCTCCCCCAGAAGGCTCGCTCGCCGCGGCTCCTCCTGCGGTGCTGCCCGCACGGCAGGTGCAGAGTCGGGGGCTGACTCGGACCGCCGTCGTCCCGTTCAGGACAAGGTCGAAATCTCGGCAGTGGGCTGGGACCGGACCACGCAGCGGGGAGGACCAAGGAGGCGTTCCCATTAGCCCCGCAGACTCAAGGGGGCTGCTGGTCAGACTGCAAGCAGCAGTGGGGGTGCCGACGGCAGAGCCGGGCAGCAGAGCTGGAGATGGCAGCAGGGGCCGGCGGCTCTCCCGGTGGCCCACGGCGGACCACGCCGAGGTGTCAGGGATCGGAGGGTGGGTGCGCCCGAGCCTCGGGAGCCAACGGCTTCGGGGTGGGGGGCGCGGACCCCAGGACGGCGGGTGGGCGCTCCCTTCTCTCTCTCTCTCCCAGGTCCCGGCGGCCAGGCTGCGGTCGCACTCACCTACCGGCAGGCGACCGGGGCCGGGATGGGGGTGCGGCGCCGCGAAGTTTGCCCCCTCCTCCGGGGGTCTCCTCCGGTGCACGGCTCTGTCCTGCAGCTGCAGCCGAGACTGCAGCGGGGACTGCGCGGGCGCGAGGAGAGCCTGGGCCCGCAGGACGCTCGGAAGAGGGCGGCGGGCCGCCGGGCGCCGCACAAAACCCCCTTTCTTCCCCCCGCCTCCTCCCCGCCCTTACCCAGGGCCGCCCCCGCCCCTTGGCCGGGAACGCGGGGGGCTCGGGAAGGTCACGGGATCCGCTGCCGTCTCTGCGTCGGTTCCCGGCGGCGGCTGCGAGAGCAAGGACGAGCGAAGTAGGACATCGTTCTGGGGATGAGAAGCTGAGGACTTGGAGTCGGGAGGGAGGGCAGGAGGGGCGGGCAGGGAGGGCTCGCCGAGCTAGATGATGATGTTGCAGCTGGAGGGATGGGAGTTAGACAGCCGGAGGGACTTCCCATTGGTCCAGGGGAGAGGAGGAGGGACTCAGACTTAGACAGTAGGGAAAAGGATGGAGGGGGAACGGGAGGCTTTGGTCCTGGAGAGAGACTCCACACACACACACACACAAACATGGGGGAGGGGAGCTCTTTTTTGGAGGCCTGATGAGGTGCAAATGACCTCTAGCCACCTCCCAGGAGGAAGCTCTGATTGGATTTGTCTCCTGTGGTGCTCCCACTCCCTGCACAGAGGAGGAGCTGACTTTGCAGCTGGAGGGGTGGAGGTTAGACAGCAGATTCATGGGTTAAGCAAAGCGAGTCAGGAACTCTCTAGACATGGGGGAGGTGGGGGGCACAGAGTTGCACTGTGAACGGACATCACTGGTCATGCAAACCAATGTGCAAAATGCAGGCGTTGCTGGGAGCCCAGAAGGCCCAGTGACCAGGGCCCAGATGAATGTGCAGCCGGGTGCCAGGGGGTGGGCCTTGAGTGCTGTCCAGCCTTTGGGGACTCCTCAGTGTCCAGAATACCAATGACACCCCTCCCCAGCTCCAGGGCTTCCACTTCCCTCTGCTTTCCCAGGCTCTCTTTCCCGCCTCCCTCCTCCTTCTTCCCTCCTCCCTCCTGGGACTCCAGGCAAAGCCCCTGGCACAGACTGTGGGCGGGACAGCCAGACGCCTGGATTCTCTCCCCTGGATACCAGTGGTGGCACCAAGGATAGCTTGTTGGAGCCTTTGATCTCCATAGTCCCCAGCAGCACCCCCAAACATCCCTAGTAGAGGAGAGTGCCTGAAATGCAAATGCAGCCTCAGGGCAGGTCCCTGTCATTCCATGGAGCCTGAGCCTGCACTGAGTCCTTTCCGTACTGGAATTCCAAACAGCCCTCTCCTGGATGCCCCAGCTGCCCCACTCGCCACTGCTGGGCTTCCACTCCTAGGGCTGTGCACTCGGTTCCAAAGGGTTTGAGAAGCTCACAAAAAGACTCCTTATCACAACCTTGTGGATCTAAGGGCAGAATTCTGGCCCCTCCCCCAGAGACCCATCTACTGTAGAGACAGGACAAAAAGACTTGTGGGTGATGGGCAGGATGGTCCCTCAGTGAGAGAAATGCCCCAGGAAGGGATGCGAGACTGAAGGGGACAGAGCAAGGTGCTGGGAGAGTCTGGGGAGGAAGAGACCTCGGTTTATTCATTTTACTAAATAAATATTAGCTGAATGTCTACTATAGGCCAGGTACTCTTTTAGGCCTTAGGAATGCTGTCCCAAGTCCTCTAGTGGAGAGGGGGTAGCTGGGAAGGCCTTTGGAGACAGATCTGGGCAGTGTCTGGGTAGCCCTAGGACCTTCCTTTGCTCCTCAGACCTTGCCTCTCTGAGCTGAAAGAGACCACCCCCCCCCCCCACCCCCGGCCCAGGACAGTCTCAGCATGGGTGCCTGCATCTAGCCTGCCCCCACACGAGGGCTCAGCTCGTCTCCACATGGGCTCCACCTGGCTTGACAGCCAGGCGGGGCCAGGCAACCAGGAGGCTGAAATTCAATCCCAGTGGTGGCTCACATGTAACCACAGTTCTTGCCTTGGGGAAACCTGGCTGTGACCGGAGAAAGAGAAAGTGACCTTCCTCACCACCCCACCTCATGACTAGAAGTGTGGGCACACATTTTGGTGCCCTAGAGGAGGCCAACCTTGGCGGAGACCAGCAGCACCTGGGTCTGGACAAGGGCTGGTACCAGACAGTCTGTTCCAAGAGGCAGACCCCTGGTGGGAAACCAGACACGGTGAGAGAGCAGACAGCTGCTGCTGTGAAGATCTTGGTGAGAGCCAGGATTCTGGAATCGTGGGCACTGAGGTCAAAATCCTGTTTTGCCATTTGCAGTGGCCAAACCTTGGGAAGGTCTTAGTTTCTCTGAAACTGTTTCCTCTTCTGTACGTGGGCTGAACTGTATCTACTGCCCTGGGTAATATCTGCTGCACTTGGGCTCCAGCAAGGAAGCCCCTGGCCCATGGCTTGGGCTCAGGAAAATTCTTTTCCTTTGCTAGTCACACACACACATGCACCCCCTAGTCTGCACCAGATGTCCTGCCCAGGAGATCAGTGGGCCAGTCCCCTGTGATGGGACAGAGGGCTCATTATCTGAGAAAGGAGTCTTTTCCTGAGGATTCTTCAAGGGAGGAAAAGAGCACCTCCCCAAGACTTTTTCAAAATTTCTAGCTGTGAAAGTTCATACTGAAGTCTAACCTGCATTTTGAACTGTCAGTGGCTGGTCAAAGACTCTCCTTATTGTCTTCACTTGCATCTTGACCTATGCCCGTGTGACACCACCACCCCCCCGCCCCCTGCCCCATTTCTATTCCTTTTCTGAGCAGAGGCAAGAACCAAGACCGTCCCCTCTGTGTCTCGGAATGGGATCCTCAGGAACTGGCTGGAAGCAAATGGTATCAATGGAAGCATGAAGAATGAAAGTCAGATTTCAAGTAGGACCTCCTCCCCTGGTAACAGGAGGAGAATGTCTCAGGGAACCTTAGGTATCTTCTGCACAAGGAAACTGAGACCCAAAGAGGCAAAGTGACTATCTAGTGTCACACAGCATGTAATTGACTGACCGTGACCAAAAAGCAAGTTTCCTGACTCCCAGGCCAGGGTTCTTGCTAGGGCCCCCAGCTGTCTCTCTCAGGGGAGAGAAAGTGGGGGAGGAGGAGAGAAGAAAGAGAGAAGGAGGGAGAGTGGGGGCAGCTCCCCGTCCTCTTCCACGTGCAGCCCAGCTGGCTCGTCCCCCAGCCCCCTGCATGGGAGCAATCAATCTCTGGCCGCCCCCCCCAATCCAGGCCAAAGCTGAGGCCATGACCCGAGTTGAGGAAACAGAATCTCCCCATAAGTTCTAGCATCCCCAGCTCCCTCCACCTCCAGTGTTAACCCTGGGCCTTCCTCGCTGGATTCCCACCCACAGTGGCCACGGCGAAAGCCTGTCCTTCCAGCCCCTTGAACACCTGCCCCCACTTCCCCAGACTTTGGGATGGGGGCCCAGGCAGCTTAGCTCCTCTCTGAGGCCCAGCGCATCACACAGACACCTGGGTCCTATGCCACGGGGACGTGGGAGTGGGGCTGAAGAGGGGGGATGGATGGGGCACTGAACACTGGGACAGCTGTGTTCATAGAATGGGGGCTTTGATAGCTTCTGAAAGGGGCCAGGAAGCACGGGACCCTGGCCCAGGCGGTGAGGGGGGGGGGCGCCCCGGCCCAGGCCAGGGAACGGCTGGGTATAACTCCGCGGGCTCCTGCAGCTGAACACAGGTCGGGGGGTGGGAGGGGAAGCGGGGTGGTGGGGAGACAGCAGTGGGACCTACAGGCTGGCCAACACTGGGGTAGGATCCCTGCTGCGTGAGCAGGAGCCAACTGTCCCCCTTGCTTTGAGGGGCGCAGACTCTGTGTTCAGAAGAGACCACTGGCCTGTCCCACAGAGAACGGCTAAAGGACCTGGAAGGCTCAGCTCTGAGCACCTCCAAGTCTACTTCTTGAGAAAAAGTTCGTCCTGTCTGCAGGCTCCCTGCAGCCCCTCTCCCTTCCTCCCATGGGGAAGACCACCCACGCTTCTATGATGCTGGGCAGCTGCTAATCTCTCTGAGCCTCAGTTTCTTTACCTGTAAAATGGGAATAACACCTTGTCTCATGGTTCTGATGTTGGGACTATGTAAATGTTTTATATAATTAAAACAAAATTTGACAGAATTAAATTAATTTGAGATGAAATAAAAAGAAGGAAAGTGCTGTGATCCCTAAAAATCTAAAACAAACTGAAATAAACGCACCTAATTGTGCATGAAGTTGGAGGCAAAGCCACAGAGAAGAATTTTCTCTCAAGTGATTATAAAACTCAGCATTTTGACTATACATCTCTAGGAACAAATAGAACCATGGAGAAATTTTAATGTTGGCATTATAATTTTGAAAAGCACTATTTATTGTGATAGAGCAAAGAAGTAATTTTAGTAATGGTGTAGGAACTAAGATTTTCAGTGTCAGAAAAGGAAAGTTAAGCAGAAACTATCAATCTTGAGTCTGAATGGAAATAACAGCACGAACTCCTGGTCTGTATATATATCTCCTGTCTACTGAAAAGGCTTAGAAGCAGTGACAGCCCGACAACAATGACTATCCCTTGTGCCCGGACGGTGGCCTTTAAATAATACTTTCCACTGAAAGGAACCAGGACTCTTTGGAGAAACTCCAGGTCTGGGGCAGGATAGCTTGTCATACTTCAGAATAGGGAACTTGTAGGACTCCGATCAAGTTCATGTCAAAAGGACCCAGGAGCCGGCCCAGTGGCCAAGTGGTTAAGTTTGCATGCGCCGCTTCAGCGGTCCAGTGTTTCACTGGTTCGGATCCTGGGCGTAAACATGGCACCGCTCATCAGACCATGCTGAGGCGGCATCCCATATGCCACAACTAGAAGGACCCACAAGTAAAAAAAATATACAACTATGCACCAGGGGGACTTTGGGGAGAAAAAGGGGGG